CTAAACCAAAATTCGACAAGATTTTACTCCTAGTGGTTAAAGTAAGACCTCAGATACTTGATTCATAAAACCAGAGGGAAACACTAATTTTCTGGAGAAAACAAAACTTCCTAGCATTTAGCTCTGAAAGAAATCTTTCAAGTGAAATTCTTAAGTCTTTTAGTGAATGCTAAAGGCACAACACCAAAGTAATTCAATAAATGCATTCCTTCAGTGGGAAGACAGATCAGCCAAAGGAAATGAATTGACTACATGTCAAACTACTTTTTCTAAATTAATCAGCCAGGTTTTTTGTTGTTATTTTTTTGGGGTAAAATATACGTTAAAAATTTGCAACTTTAACCATTTTCAAATGTATAATTCATGGCATTAAGTACATTCACATTGTTGTGCAGCTATCACTGGTATCCATTTCCAGAACTTTTTCATCATCTAAGAGTTTTATCCTTTTGTGTCTGGTTTGTTTTGCTTAGCATAGCGTATTGAGGGTTCATCTGTGTGGTAGCATATGTCAGAATTTCATTCCTTTTTATGACTAATATTCCATTGTGTGGATATAGCGTATTTGAATCTATTTACCTCTTGATGGACACTGGGTTGCTTCCACCTTTTGGCCATTGTAAATAATGCTACTGTGAATATGTTTGAGTCCCTGCTTTCAAGCTTGTTTGGATATATATCCAGAAGTGGAATTACTGGATCATATGGTAATTTTGTGTTTAATTTTATCTTCTTTGGAGAAATGCTTATTCATGTCTTTTGCCCATTTTTAAAATGGAATTGTTTGGTTTTTGATTGTTCAGTGGTAGTAGTTTCCAGCCAGGTTTTTAAAGGTTACCTTGTCAGGTGCCCAATCCAACCATGAATCCAGGGACTTCATACTTGTATGCAGAGTACTAACAGGAGTACTTGGGTAAGGAGAGAGCTAAGATTTTCCTTAAGTATTTACCACCGGAACAGATGACGCTAAGGTCCGCAAAATTCTTACAGAACAGGGTTTTGGTCTAGAAAATTCTCCAAACAGGAATCATTTACCAAGACCTTGAAAAAAATCTGAAAAGTGTACCCATTGTGATGAAAATGCTCTGAGTTAGTGATGATAGTTGCACAACTTTGGAATATACTAAAAACCACTGACTCGTACGTTTTAAAAGAGTGAATTTTATGCTATGGAAATTACATCTCCATTAAAAAAGGATAAAAAATAACCACTTAATATTTGGTTTTAGAATTAATATAGCTTGCTGGTGAGCCTGCTAGAGTTACAAAACAAAATATTAAATATCTCTGAGTAACCAACCTCTTTGAGTAAATAAGCACATTGATAGCAGCTTATGAGTTTGTTCACTCATCAGATACTTATTGAGTATCTTATTATGTACCTGGCACTGTGAATGTAGCAATGAACAAAACAAAGTCCCTGCCCTCAAGAGTTTATGTTTTAGTGGTGGGAAATGGTAATATAATTTGATATTAGGTATGATAGAAGCTATGAAGAAAAAGAAAGCAGAAAAAGGGAATAGAGTGACAGTGTGTACACTACTAGATAGGATAGCCTTTCTGAGGAAGTGAATTTAAGCAGAGATCAGAATTAGTGAGCAACTCAAGTTCTGTGGAAAGAGCATCCTGGTTTTAGGGAATAGCAAGTACAAAGGCCCTGTGGCAGAAGCATGGTTGGTGTGTTAAAGGCCACAGCAGAGTGAATGAAGGGAAGTTAGGTTGGAATGGTAGCCATGGAGAGCCTTTTAAGTGATGGTGAGGACTCTGGATTTAATACATGATAGAAAGCCTTTGGAACATTATTGTATGATGTAGAAACCAGTTAAGTGTTGGTGAACATGCCAAAAATAATTACTTTTTAAAAATTAGTTGCCCTTAATACATTATTTCTCTCTCTCTCTCTTTTTTCTTTTTTTGAGAAAGGATCTCATTCTGTTGCCCAATGTGAGGTGCAGTGATATGATCATAGTTCACTATAACCTCCATAACTCCTGGGCTCAAGCATTCCTGCCTCAGCCTCTGGAGTAGCTGGGACTACAGGTGTGTGCCACCACACCCGGCTAATTTTTCTATTTTATGTAGAGAGAGGGTCTTGCTATGGTGCCCAGGCTGGTCCCGAACTGCTGGCTCAAAAGATCCTTTTGCCTCAGCCTACCAAAGTGCTGCGATTACAGGCATGAGCCACTGCACCCGGCCTAATAATTATTTCTGATAGCTGTTATATGCAAACTAATTGTCTGAACAACCACATATATTTTGTACAGAAACCATATTCTCTGCATAATAGAGGTTACTTTTCTATTCTACAGGAGAAGGAATAACATTCTGTAGTCGTATTCATTAACATGTTTTAAATACCTTATGTCACATCCTCTTTAAACCCTATTTTTCTTTCCCTTTTCCACTTGCCTAGTTATGACAGAAACCTCCCTCTCTCCCTTCTCTTCTTCATTCCTTTATTCCTTTTGTGAGTCCCAGATGGCAATGACTGTGATTTTTAAAAATCACATGTAAAGTTATTACCTATATGTAGAAGCAAACAAACATTTGATGTAAGGTTAGAAATAATAGAGCTAGAAATAATAGAGATTAGAAAGGTTAAAAATAATAGAGTTCCCTGAAATAACTACAAAGGTCCCAATTAACTGTTTAACCTTGTCTTAAGAACTTGTTTTTTCCTGTTTACTAGTACATACATTTTTTTAAAAATTCATATTCAATGTTTTGCTTTGGTTGACTAATATAAAAGTATTTTGTATTTTAGCCATAGCTTTTGTACACCCATTTGGATACCTCCATATGATATATCATGTTGTTATTCTGAGAAAAGTTAATGTCTGGTTCTTTAGAACTGAGTTTTCAGAAAACTTTTTAATCACAACTTATTTGTAAATTGGAGACTGCCTTCCTCCACACACTGTCCTGATATCTGATAGAAAGAAATATTACATAACCTGGGAGATTTAGAAACTTAGGTTGAAACAAGCTTTATTATATATTAGTTCGACATCCTTGAATGTTAATTTTACTGAATGTTTATATGAAACTACAAAGTACTACAATAGTAACAGAAAACTAATTATTATTTATAGATAAATTTGACTTATTGGTGTAGAAAGGTCTCAGTTAATAAGTTCTCTCACCAGTGTTAGTTATGTTGTACTATTTTCCTTCTGTGTGATATTATACTAATATATTTCTTTTTATTGAAAGCTTGCAAATACAGAAGAATACATAGATGGGGCATTGTCTGGACATCTGGGTGAAGTTTTAATAAGGTAACAAACAGCAGTAGTATATGTAAGGAATTACAGCATTAGAAATAACTGTTTAAATAAATTAGTACAATTTTGGAATTACTTTTTAAAAAAATTACTAGTAATTTAACACAATACTTTATAACTAGATTTTAGAAGTCTTTGGAATTATTAAACTTGTCAAAGGTAAGGTTTAAATATTTTGGAGCTGTTCATCCTTAAGATTTTTCTGGTGTTGATATTACATTTTCTAGCTCTTAGCTGTAACCTTTTTCAGTGGCTTTAATTGCAGGAGCTTAGTTTTAAATTTTAGTTGGGACTGGCTGCTGTTAAGGATTTCTGTTATACCGATTTTCAATATTAGCTTCAAACCTCCAAATTCTAGTAATTATTTCTTTTGGAAAGTCATAAAGATGTCATTTCACATGGTGAAAAGTAAGTGCCATGTGCAACTCTTTAAAAACAGAAAGAATGGTATGTTGTAAATTCAGCATTCAGTACTTTCATTATGGAAAAAAATCTAGTAATAGTAATTCAGATCACACATAGTTTCTGGTTGGAACAACAAAATGGACTATTTTTCTATTTACAGGTGTAATAATGTCCTTTATATCAGAGGTGTTGAAGAAGAGGAAGAAGACGGGGAAATGAGAGAATAGCATCTTTTCTGGGTTTTTTTTTATATATATATTTCTAGACAATAAAGATTTGTTTGTTTTTCAACTTGACTTGTGAACTTTTCATATTCAGATATTATGTTGAAAGCTCAAATGTTGAAGCAACTGAGATTATTCGCAGAATTATTTATTAAAAGCCACCCAACTGCACTTGTTGGCTTTCTTTTGTAAGCCCAATACTGTTTTTTTTCTGTAAGGGATAATTATATGCTTTAGAAACTTTTATGAAGGTGGATTTCAGACCTTTTCTTGTAATTATATATTAACTGAGACCTTTTAAAAGCATCTTTTTCTTTTAAAGTTATTTTTGAGCCACTCTTTACATGTGTAAAGTTAAACATTTTCTTAGTATTAATATATACTGTATTATTCTATGTAGTCAATAAGTTACATGTTAATTCTATATTGATATAAGCTAAATGTACATATTATAGCTAAAATTGATACATCATCTGTAAATTAAAATGACTGTGAAGATAGGGTACAACTGAAATTGTGGACTAACATTTAGGCTGAAGGCATACATATAGTTTGTTCAAAATTTTCTGAAGAGAACTTAATGTGAAATAAAAACCAGTCTCCAAGTTATGTTCTAGACCATAATCTAGTGGTTTTCACTTAAGTTTGAAACCCCTTGGATATTTTAGAGTTGTACATTGTTAAAATGTATATTCCATAGTGATAACCAAATGCTATGAACTTCCCTATAGAAGGGTTGAAAAAATATATCATTTAAATTTTCATGTTGTCAGAAAATGGCCATTGTTACACTTCAGTGGTCATTTATCATATAGTTTTATCAAGAAACTATCTTTGGATTTGTATCCCCAACTGGGACAACTCAAAGTGTAGATATAAATGTTTAGCTATATAGAATAATACTTTAGGATATAAATACTGAAAGGCTTCAACAATAGAAAATAATCCTGTAGCCCTTAGAATAAGGGCCTGTCTTCCTCAAATTGATTAGGCCAGTATATGGGGCAGAATGTTGCCATTACTGAAAGCCAAAATCAACAAAATATACCTAAAACATTCTGGCAATGAAATGTCTTACTGCTGCTTTTCAAGTAAAAAAATATTCTTCCTCTTGTGTTTTTGTTCTTGTATCACTGATTAAAAGTAGTCTGTGTTTGTCACCAGATGGAGGTTTTGAACGATAGATAAGTCGTCTTCCCAACTGAAACAAAAGAAAAACAAAATACTTAATATTCTTCAGCATAGCCATTTTCTGTTGAAGTATGTAGAATACCAATATTAACTTGATTTTTACAAGGAATAATATGGTTTAAAATACTGAGTAGTCACAGTTAAAAGAGATTGATAACCTAATGGGTGTCTAACATGCTAGGCAAATTTGTGCACCCATAGTATGCAGAAGAAAGCAGTTAGGTTTTATGGCGAAGTGGGGAGATTTAGGTAAAGTCATCAAATAGCATGTAGTTCAAATGTGGTCAGCCTAGAAAGGCACCATGTTGGAAGCCAGCATTTATTTCATTTCTCAGTAAGTACCATAGCCAGTTGCATTGAGAAATCTTGTTGAACGAAAACATCAGAAAACTGTACTGTCTTCTTAACACTAGTATTAACTGTTGGCTCTTGGAGGGGTTCCCACCAGGAGAGAGTTAGGGAAATCCCTAGTTCACACCTATTCATTCTTTCTGGGGCATATATACTCAAACATACCACTACTCATTTTTTTTCCCCTTTTTGTTTTGGGATTTCCTACCCTCCTACCCCCCCATTTTTGTTTGCTTTTATAGCTGAATTTTTGTAAAAATTAAATGTATAGATGAGGAAACTACATACTCTGTTAGACATGAGATTTGATAGGACATCTCCACTCTTGTTGAAAGGGACAATATTCACGTTTTAGGCAGGACAATTCTCATGTGAGACTGTGCCTTGCATTGCAGAATTCTTAACATTCCTGGCCTAAGAGAACCTAGAGAACCTAAATAACAATAGCACTCTTCCCCATCATGTAACAACAAGAGTGTCCTTGGGGAACTGGAATACCTGAATTCCTTTTTTAATGTCAAATTTTTTTTGAGACAGTCTTGCTCTGTCAGCCTAGCTCACAGCAACCTCAAACTCCTGGACTCAAGGGATGCTTCTGCCTCAGCCTCCTGAGTAGCTGGGACTATAGGCGTGTGCCACCACACCCAACTAATTTTTCTATTTTAGTAGAGATGGGGTCTCACTCTTGCTCAGGCTGGTCTCGACCTCCTGAGCTCAAGCAATCCTCCCACTTAAGCCTCCCAGAGTGCTAGGATTACAGGCGTGAGCCACCTCGCCCCTAACTGCAAAATTTTTAACCGTCAAAGATCTTTGGTAACCTTTTTAATACTGTCTGAAAATTACCAATGATGAAGTGTCCTGAGTAAACATCAGAGGTCTTTGTATATTGTTGATTTATCAGATAGCCAATTTTTTTTTCCAGTTTTAGTTTTCATGCTCATTTTTAGTCTGTTAATAAGCATTTATTCAGTATCCACTGATATGCCAGGCATTGGGGATACAAAGATCATAAAACTCAGGGCCTACAAGAAAGATGAATATACTAAAAAATAATTTCAGTTTGGTGGGTTGATGAATAGTTAATCCTCCCTTGGGAGGAGAGGATAGGTGAGGAAAGTCTTCACAGGCAGAACTGAATTGGACTAGATAAATACAGATTCCTTTTAAGATAAAGTACTTATTTAAATAAAATAATCACTTTTGACATGGTACATAATAACTGTTACACTTCAGAAGTTTTTTCAAGTTCTTCAAGAGGCTGGTTGTAAGGCACACAGTAAGCACTTGCTATGTGTCAGCTATTACTATGGTAAGAATCAATGTCCACGTTAGCTTTGCAGGTAACCATGAGATTGTCTTCCTGGAGTATATTTCAGACCCTACCCCAGAAGGGGGAGAGTGGCATATAGAAACTAAAGGCCCTCCTTCCTCCTGTGTGGAAGGAATGGCCACATGCACTCAGTGACTGCCTAGTCCCAAACTTCTGATTGGACAGGTAATCTTTGCAATATAGAGAACCTTGGCTTCTGGTCCTGATTCTGCCGCTAAATCAGAAGTGACTCTGGGCAAATCATTTTAACATCAACTATCAATCTCATTACTTTTACAATGTGGGAATTAGAAGGCCTCTCCAGGTTTCTGCAATTCTCTGGGTTCACTATCTCTAAACCATTGAGTGAAAGAAGCAAGCTTCATAGCTACTATTGGTAAAGAAAAAGAATAAATATACAAATACGTAGAATATTTCCAGGAGGATGGAGATGAAACTGTTAACAGTGGTTGCCTCCAGGGAGGGGAACTGAAGAAGACAGACTTCACTGAGTATTTTGTGTCTTTTTAACTTCGAACCATATGCTTGTATAGCCTATCCAAAAAAACTTTTTAAAAATTCTCTAGTTTTATGAACCTACGGCTAAAGAAAAAGAGGAGAGGGAAGAGGCTTCTTTTACTGAAAAATGGGTCTAATTGAGAACTTTAGGCCCAGTAATTTGAATTATTCTGAAAGTAACAGGGAACCAGAGAGAGACCAATTGAAGCTGTGAGTGCGAAAGATTATTTTACTGAAGTTTATCCTGGATAAGTTAGACAAATAAGGTATTTTGTTTTGCACCACAGAGACGCCCACATACCAATGTGTCTGGATCTGTTGATACTAATAGCAAAACACAAACCTTTTTCTTTGGTTCTGCTACTGCCCTTTCCAGAGCAGCTTTTAGCCTTTCCTCCTGGTGTTTTTGTTTTTCTTTCATTTTCTCATCACGCAACCTGTCGCAAGAGGGAAGAAACATTTTTATAAGTCATAGAAAGTATAAAAGATCTATATCATTACTGTTTGATAACGAACTACCTAAATATAAGACCTTTACAGTTAAGTGAAAATGACACTTCATCCGTAACAATGGCTTTTGAATAGTCAGGTAAATCTCAACAGCAAAGTTTTGAAATGGGAAGAAATTTAATTTCACCATTTTGGAAGAAATAAAATTTACCCAGATCTTGGTCTAAAATGAAACCAGCACTCTCATCACTACAATTATATTTCAGCACTTTATAGTTAGTTTGTACAACAGATATTCAAATTAACTTTCAACTATTTTTCCCCTTTTTTAGACCTTTTAATTAAAGTGTGGCATATATACAGAAAAGTACACAAATCACAAATGTATAGCTCAGTGAATTTCCACAAGTGTACTTTCCAGTTAATCTTTTTGAACAATGTCTTCAATAGCAAGAAATGCTATTTGTCTTATTTTCTCTTTCTTTTATAAGGGAAAAATTAAATGAGATAACCTATGCAGTCTATCTAGTAGAAGATGGTGAGGAATAGGTACTCAATAAGTGATAGCTATTTTATGGGCCTATTTAATTATATCCTAAGTCTCAGGTTATATACTAGGGGATGGAAATATTTACTGAGCATTTTTTATGCAAAATTAGATGCTATGTTAGGTGCCTCCAAGCCATGGAGAAAATCAACTAAAATTCTCTTTTTAATAAGAATGGATATAATTGGAATTACATTTGTGTATCACTGCTGAAAATAAGTTGCAATTACACTTTGATGAGAATATGTTTGCTACTGTAAAAAATGCAAGTGTTAGTCTAATCAGTCATACCGAGGTCATCTTATGGAAGCAGTAATCTCCTTTAGAATCTTTTTTAGAGAAAGAGTCTTGCTCTGTCACCCAAGCTAGGGAGCAGTGGCACAATCATATCTCATATCAGCGTCGAACTCCTGAGCTCAAGAGATCCTCCTGCCTCAGCCTCCTGAGTAGCTGGGACTTCAGGCATGTACTACTGTGCCTGGCTTTTTAAAAATTATTTTTATTTTTTTAAATACAGACTGGGTCTTGTGAGGTTGCTCAGGCTGGTCTCCCAACTCCTGGGCTCAAGCAATCTATCTTGGCCTCCCAAAGTGCTGGGATTACAGGCGTGAGCTGCTGCTTCTGGCCTAGAATTTTTTTATTAAGTTTGCTTTATGTTCAATATCCCATCAGGATCACCTAAATATATATTCTGGACTTCATTTTTACATGGGGGAAACAATATTCCCCATGCTCTAGTAATGTAGTAAGCAATAACAAAATATCTAATACTAATGGCTAATATTTGCTTACTATGTACCAGGCATGCTTTGGTGCTTTTACATGGATTAATTTAATCCAAACAACAACCCTGTAGGTACCATAATTACTACCATTTTACAGATAAGGAAACAGACTAGAGAGGTTATGCTGCCTGCCTAAGGTCACAAAGTCATAAATAGTTGGACCTGTATTGAACCCACTCAGGCACAGTTTCGTGCCCACGCTGGTAGCCATAGTACTAGTCTGCCTCCCGAGACGTTGTTTGCTATTACAGAAACATTATCCCACTTGTAAACATTTCCTACATGCCACATTATGCTAAGGGTCATGTTACATTTATAATCATTGTCTCAAACTAGTACAGTTGGCCCTCTGTACCCACAGTTGCACATGTGGGGATTCAAAAAAGTGCAGGCTGAAAATATTTGGGGGAAAAAAACAACAAAAAATAATACAAATTTTAAAAAAACAGAACAGTAGCTACTTAACTAGCATCTACATGGTATTAAGTGTAAGCTAGAGATGATTTAAAGTATACAGGGAAGGTTATATGCAAGCGTTGTGCTATTTTATATAAAAGACTTGAGTATCTGAAGATTTTGGTATCCTCAGGGGTCCTGGAACCAATCCTCTGCAGAGGGACAACTGTATGTACATAATCCTTATTTAACTTGGTGTGGAAATTTGTAAATCAGTGCGTTGTGAAAGGCCTCAGCTTATGGCAGTGACACCCTGAACTTGTGCCTGATCTAGTCTGAAAGGCCCCAAGCTATGCAAGGATATGGCAGGTGGGGGGAGTTCCAGGATGATAATCTTTGTGAGGTTATTCTGAGGAATAAATAAATTAATTTGTAAATGCTGTGTAAGTGTTGGCAGTCATGCACTGAGGAAACCCTTGTTGTGTGGCTCATTCAAACAATTCCTTCACAGAGTAAGTCTCCCTGTGGTTTTCCAATGTAGGGCTTCTAATTCTATGCCTTGGGTCATTCACCATAAGTATAATTCTCTTTCCACATGATAGCTCTTCAAAAATTTGTATATAATTAGTGCGTTCACCCTGAAGATTTGCTTTTCCAGCCTAAAAGGACGTTCTTGCCCATCCCAAACTAGGTCACTTGCCCCTGGTGAACTCTCTGTTCACCCAGTTCCTTCCTTCACAGTGCTCATCGCCATTGGTAATGACATTTATTCAATAAGAATATTTGATGAATGTGTCTCCCACCCTAAACAATAGCTCTGGGAAGACGGCAGGTCTGGGTTTGGTTCCTCCCCACCGCATCCCTATATGGCAGTCCTGGCCATATAAGAGAGACTTGCTAAAAATGTGCGGAATCCACACAAAAATGGCTGCTCATGAAGTAATTCACTATATTTATATCACAAGACATTGTACTTTTGCCGCCGTTCTTTCTGTTTCATCCTCTCAATTGCCTCCACACTTTCTTTGGGAATGGTTTCAATGAGGTCACTCAGTTCCACCAGGCGAGACTCTACTTTTACCAGCTTTTGAACTGTGTTGAGGCTGCTAACCTCAGCATCTCCAATGCAGACTTTGTACACTTGATTAATTTTTCTACTGAGTGAATCTATCAGTTTTTCCTGAGTATAAGAAGAAAAGAGCAGAAAACACATCGCATCACTATTTGGTTGCTCATTCAGTAAGTGTAAAACTCCATTTTACTATATTACAATGAAAAGTCCTTTATATCCTACTAAATGTTTCCTTTTTTAATAGAAAAACTTCAATATGACATAGACCAGTGAGAAAATGCAGCAGTGATATTTAATCTATTTCGTATAGTCAGATCATTACTATAATAACACTCTGTATTATTTTCTTAAAATATATTTAGGTCTAGGTATAAAAAGTAATTATAATAAGATGGAATATCTTTTTGCTTGAATGTTTTTGTATATTTGATTCTCTTAAGCATTCAAGTAGAGGCAACATAAACATTTTAAATCCTCTTTTGCCATTCTGATGCATTTCCTTTTGGCACAATATGTGAGCCTCCCTTTTTTTGCATTTATTACTCTATTGCTAAACTGTAATCATCCTATATGATAGTTATTTGCATACGTGTTTTATCTCTCCTTCTAGGCTGTAAGCACCTGGAGGATATGCCTCTGCTTACACTTGTATCTAAAACAGTGCCTTGCACATAACTATGCACGTAATAAATGTTTGCTGAATAAATGACTGAATGCATTCTCAGAAAAAAAAATTCCAAGCAAACAGATTCCCAGGCTGGCCTATGTAAGCCTTTTTAGGACTCTCCATTGGGAAGCCACTGCAGTATTCCAGTCTAAACAGAAGCTTAGGTCAAACCTTGCTGATCCCTGTACCTCCACACTGCGCTGTTTTAACTGTCGGCGGATATTCCTGAGTTGGTGGATAACATGTCTTGGGACCACAAGAAAATTGTCATCCTCTTTCTCCACTGTTAACGGGGCATTCGCAGCTAAGAGGAGCTCAACAAACTGCTGGGCAATGTAAATCGCCCTCCAGGCAACATTCTGCCCGAATTGCCATTTCTGCTCAAGAAGATGGGAGTTACCATAAAGCCAAGGACAAATGACACACTCAAGACAGACGTGGCTCCTGGAGCCATGGGAAGCCCCTTCTGGAACCACAGACTCCTTGCAGAATCATCAAAATTACAAGCCAAGATCTGATACCAAGAGTGTACTTCCAACAGCGTTTCTCGCACCTCCTACTTTAACAAGCTATCTGATTGCCCTATTTAGCATAAAGCTCCTTTTTTCTCTCTGATGTAACACTTATAATAGTTCCTATTTATATTAAAAACACACTCTTTTTAGAAAACTTAGGGAAATACAAAATAACAGAAAAAAAACCAAAAGTCCTATTTGCCATAAATCCCCTTTTGTCCCTCTGTAAAACAGCACTTGGTGTGTTAACTGTTTATATGACAACACATCTTTTTTAGAAACATTTCTTTTTAGAGGAAACCATAGAAGGAAAAAAAGTAAAATTAACCATTAGGGGCTGAAATATTGTACATTCCATATGGAAAAACAATACTGCTGAAACATAAGTCACTAATAAAGCAGAAAAAAATACTTTAAAAATGTACTGGAAACTGGTTTTGAGGAAAAAAACTTTAATATGAGAAGGGTTTCTGGTTGATAGATTTCTTGAACACTTAGAAAGAGCTTTAGAGATGGATGGGCAGTGGCTTTTTAGGATGTCTTCTCTTTTTTCTTTTTTTTTTCTTTTTTAAAGTTCCCTCATCAAACGAGAAAAAGACGAGAAGAGTCGTTTTCTTAAGATAGCAAGTTAAGAATAGGAGAGAGGAGAGGAGAATGAGATTAAAGAAGATGACTCACGAATGAAAGACAGACTGAAGCCCGGGCCTGACAGAGCAAAAGGGCGCAGAGAAAGCGAGCACAAGGCACAGCCCACTGATGAGAGAGAAGGGACGTTGCAGCCCGATCCCCGGAACTGCCGCCAGATGGCAGGCCCAGCCCAGGACAGCTCCGAGGAAGCGCTGCCACCGGAGGCTGCGAGGGCTCCGAGGGGCTCTGGAGTCTTCAGGAGGCACAGGTGGGGCAGGATTATGGAAGACCCATGAGAAATCAGACGCCTTTCAACAGTGAATGGGAAGCGATATGACCAGAGCAACCTTTTAGGAGGACTCACTGTATCAAAACTGGAGAGGGGATGGGGGGAAATATCTAGATGTCTCTGAAAGTCCTTTCCAACTCAAGGATTCTGCAATTCTAATGCATGTCCCATTCTGCTGTGTGCTGACTGTGCACAGCTCTCCCGGTTGAACCTGATCAGCTTCCTGTGCAAAAGAACAATAAAACCAGAGATAAACACATTCTGCGAACTGAACAATGGAATAGCTTATGTTCCATTTCATGTTCAACGAACACGAACCAACAACCATTACACAAAGCAACATGGATGAATCTCACAAGCATAATGTTGAGAGAAAGAAACCAGACACATTACGTGATTCCATTTCTATAAAGTTCAAAACCAGGAAAGCTACTTGGTGGTGAGAGAAGTCAGGATAATGGTAAAGAGGGACGGTAAAGGCTGGAACGGGTATGAGGGAGGTTTGTGGCAGGGTGGGGTCGGGGGGACCGATAGTGGTCTATTCCCTGATCTGGGGGGTGGTACAAAGGTGTGTTTGCTTTGAGCAAATTCCTTGAGAGGTACACTTATGATTTGTGCACTTTTCAACAGTACATTATACTGGAATTTAAAATTTTTAAAGTAAAATATTGGATCAAAGAAAAATAGTTTAGGGGATTAAATACAGTTGGGAGTGTGAAAGTTTTTAAGAGAATAAAATATGCATTTCACAGTTACAGCTCCAAAGTAACTGTGATAATTTATTAATCAAAATTAGATATGTCAATTATACTTCAACAAAGCTGAAAAAGACAAAATTTAAAAAATTGGGCACAACTATGTTTACTCATAAAGGATTATGTTTTCTGCATTTTGAGATCTGAACAAACATGGGAGGAGAAGCAGACAAATTCTAAGTATACTTTTCCCTCCCCGTTGTCCTGCTCTACCTCCCTGCTCACACCCCACGTTTCTTATTTCTAGGAGACACTAGGAATCATCAGCCCCATTTCCCCAGAGTGTACAACACATGAATGCCACATTTACACTTGTGACCAAAATTTTATGGATAGTCTTTAAAAAAGTAATTTTCAGATCAATTCTACCTTCTCTGTTTAGGAATCTGGTTGCCTCATTGTATCAAAAATGCCACTTTTTAATATGATGCCCTAAACTTGGATGAAAGGGGCTTGGTTGGGGTGGGGCAGATGGGGAAGAGCGATCACGGATATTTATCTGACATTTTGCATGTCAGTCACCTTCAGAATTATTTGAAACAGAGTCGAAGGATGGAAATGACCCAAGTGTCCCTCAACAGAAGAACAGATGAATGGATAAACAAAATATGGTATAGTCATACAATGGGATATTATTCAGCCTTAAAAAGGAATACAATTCTGATACATGCTACAACATGGACGAACCTTGAAAACACTATGCTGAGTGAAATAAGCCAGACACCAAAGGATGAATACTGTACAATTCCACTGTACCTTATATGAGGGACCTAGAATAGTCAAATTCATAGAGACAGAAAGTGGAGTGGTGGTTGTCAGGGGCTGGGGGAGGGAGGAATGGGGAGTTATTGTTCACTGGGGAGAGTTTCAGTTTTGCAAGACGAAAAAGAGTTCTGGAGACGGTTGCAAAACAATGTGAATGTACTGAACGCTACTGAATTGTACATTTAAAAATGGTTAAGAGTCTAAATATTATATTGAAAAATTGAGAAAGTTCTGGAAATAGTGGTGATAGTTATACAACATTGCAAATGTACTTAATGCCTTTGAATTGCACACTTAAAATGGTTATATGGTAAATTTTATGTATATTTTATTACAGTAAAAAAAAGGGGGGGAGTTTAAAAAGAATCACTGAATTGAAAGGTGGCTGTCATCACGCTTCTTGCTCTAGCAGTGCACAACCCCATCCCCTGCTAACTTAGGGTGCTACAGCATCCTAGGAAATGGGGTGTGTGTGTGTGTGTGTGTGTGTGTGTGTGTGTGTAGAAGCCATAAACGGCGTGTGCTTTTTGTAACCCTGCCCACCTGTGGGTAGGGGAGGACAGTCATCTTTTTCTCATACAGTTCCTCCAAATCTACCTCCGTTTGGAAATCAAGTTCATCAATGCGATATTAGCCCCACAGATTAGCTTTGAATTTTTATTTATTTCATTTGAGGTTTTTACAAAGAAACCCATGTTAGATGGAGCCTGTTGTGGGTCTGAAAACTAACCTAATCATTCATTCAACAAACATTTATTGAGCACCAACTTGATGGAGACATTAAACTGAGCTAAGAATGGTGAGGCAATCCCTGCCCTGGAGGGGTTGGCATCCAGCCGGGACAGGTGAGCTCCTCAATAAGTAATGTGCCAGCACATGCCACTGGTGCTTTGATAATGAGTCTTACCTACGCAGGCCCAAAGAAGCTGAAATCTATTACAGGCCTAGTGTTGGGCAAATTTCCCATTCAGTGTTGATTCACTGTTAATTGTGTTGATTCACTGCTTCCTCTGTTAATTACTTGCTTCCTGAATTACCACCAAAATGATCCCAGGCAGTGAACTGCTTCATATGTATACACTCCGACTAAAAGAAATGTATTCACAGGGGAAACCTCAATATCATGGTGTGTAATACTCAGAGCAACGCTGTAAGAGAACCCCACTGCCAATGTGAATGCTTTCTGTCTGTGTCCACCGACTGTTACCTGCCGGCAAGATAATGCCAAGCTGGTTCTTCACTTCCATCATCAAACTGGGACTTGTGGTTTGCTTTAACTCCTCTATTCAAATGTTTAGTACACAAGGAATGCAAATTACTGTTATCATGAGGCAACAGAAAATTCCTGTAGGCAAAAAAAGATTACCTGGGCATCTGAATTAAATTCTCCAAAACTAAATAGCCGGGACCTTAATTCCAATTCTGCTGCTTTTTCCTCTTCTCTCTCACAGTTAGCCTTAAGCATTTCCTTGTGCTCCAAAAGAAACTCTATGTTGCTATTTCTATTGCAAAAGAAGAAAGAGACCCTCATCTGAAATTTGTGGTTTAGAGAAATAACCATCAATCGGGAGCTCCAATCATATGTCAACATCCTGTATCTATTTGAAGACACTGCCAGAAGACCCACAACTTTTCAAGTTAAAATGAGAAAAATAAATGTACAAAATGCTGCTTTTAACTTCCATCAGAAGGCATTTTTCTTCCTCTCCCCTATTTTTGTGGCTTCCCCTGCATCCCCCAGAGAGGAGCAGAGTTGAGGTGTCAGGAACCCACGTCGTGCTGTGATCCAGGAACATCAGTATTCTCGAGCCTGATCCTCAGGGTGTCTGGAGAGCCAAAGGGAAATACAGACTCCTGACTCGCCCGCTTAGAGATTCTGATAAGGATCCTCTACAGATAGAGTCTGACGTAGATCTTCTCTTTCTGCCCTTTTGTACCCACCCTGTCCCAGAAAATCATACTGGGGCCGGAGGGACGCCATACACTGTCAGAACAAAATTAATTTGTTCTGAAGTTAAATGTACTTTGATCGATTGTTTAAAAAGATTGCCATCTTCTGGCCCAGAAAACTGATCTGAAAAAGGTTTTACACATTTTTATAGTGAGTAGATAGATATAAAGATCCATTCTCTGGGATTCAAAACTTTTTCAGTTGTAATAATATAAAATTTTAGAATAGGAAGGAATTTTGTGAGTCATCAAATCCAGCCTCTTTCCCCACACGGAAATCCCTTCTGTAATAGCCCCGATATATTGACATGTACATTCTAATATGATATAATATTTAATTGCAAAAATTATGAGATTATTATTTTGCTGAGAGTCACAGCCAGGGAAAATGCATATTATTAGCATTATCATCCAAAGCATGATTTGATTAAGGAAATGACAGCTAGCCAAGTGACAGGGTGAAAACGACACTGGACTAAAATTAAGGCAGTAGGTACCATTTGAATTCTTTTTAGTTTTTTAAACTATCTTTTATTATTACTATCTGGGAAAATATTTTGACCAAGTGAAAGAAAGTAAGGACAAAATTAAACTAAAGCCCATCTATTCTGTGTAAATGTAGCTTCTACCTTTTACACCCTGCAATGCAAACTCTTATTAATAAAACCCCCAGCCTGAATCCAGAGAGACCATGAGAAAGAGCCACACGTGAATAAGCTGGACCCAGACCCCGGTTAGAAATTGCTTAATGGAACAAATCATCTTGTTTTAACGACTTACATTTTATCCTGTATAACTTTTTCTCTTTTGTTTACATCGTCAAGATTTTCATCTACATCTTGGGAATATTGGACCAAAGTAAGATTCTGCTCTTCCAGCTCTGTGAGGACTTGAAGCAACTCTTCTGGTTCTTTGAAATACAGCACTGGGTCCTAATCAGTCAGTAATGAAGAACATAACTCACTTAAAAATCTCCTACCTGTGTGCATGTGAGTTATCTAGAAAACACAGCGGAGTAAAGGAATTCTGTTCCGATTACGAGGGAGACGTGGCTAGAGAATTGTAGACGCCTCGCCTCTGTCCGGATGAGAGCCGGCTCTCCGGAAGAGGACATTTTGGGTGCTGGGGGCAGATGAGAGGCGTTGGAGAGGGGAAGGGGAAGGGAAGATGGAAGAAGAGGACGAGGAAAAGAGAAAGAAGAGGGAATAGAGAAGACGAGGAGGTGAGGGCAGGAGGAAGTGAAAGGGAAAGGCAGAGAGAAGGAAGAGAAAAAGAGAATACAGAAGGCTCAGTGAAGGTCATTATCTCCTCACATCTTAATTATTTTATATTTTCCAAATGTTTAAGATGAAGTATGTATTACTTTAAGCAATTTTTTTAAAAAATGACTTGGGTATTTGCATACACAAATAATGATGTTCATCATTATTTGCAATAGCCAAGACATGGAAGCAACCTAAATGGACAGGTGAATGGCTAGAGAAAATGTGGTCTATACAGACAATGGAATATTATTCAGCCTTAAAAAGTAAGTCCTGTTGTATGCTACAACATAGACAAACCTTGGGGCCCTCATGCTAGGTGAAAGAGGCCAGTGACAAAAAGACAAAGACTGCATGTTTCCACTTATATGAGGTGTCTAAAGCAAACTCCTAGAAGCAGACAGTAGAATAGTGGGTCTGGGTACGGTGGCTCAAGCCTGTAATCCCAGCAATTTGGGAGGCCAAGGCAGGAGGATTGCTTGAGGCCACGAGTTGGAGACCAGCCTAGGCAAATAGATCCCTATATCTATAAAAAATTTAAAAATTAACTGGTTATGATGGTGCACGCCTGTAGTCCCAGCTACTTGGGAGGCTGAGGCAGGAGGATCTCTTGAGCCCAGGATTTTGAGGTTGCAGTGAGCTGTGATCACACCACTGCACTCCAGCCTGGGGGTGGGGGGTTGGGGGGAACACAGAGTGAGACCCTATCTACAAAAAAAAAAAAGAAAGAAAGTAGAATAGTGGTTGCCAGGAGCTATGCATGGGGTGGGGGGGCGGGAGGTGGTGTTTAATGGGTATGGAGTTTCACTTTTGCAAGATACGAAAGTTCTAGCTATCTATCACACAACAATATGCAAATAGTTAACACTACCATATTGCCCACTCAAAATGGTTAAGATGGTAAATTTTATGTCATGTGGGGTTTTTTAATCACAATTTTTTTTTTTTTTTTTGAGATAGAGTCTCACTCTGTCTCCCGGGCTAGAGTGCTGTGGCATCGACCTAGTTCACAGCAACCTCAAACTCCTGGGCTTAAGCAATCCTCTTGTGTCAGCCTCCTGAGTAGCTGGGACTACAGCCACGTGCCACCACACCCAGCTAATTTTTTCTATTTTTAGTAGAGACGAAGTCTCACTCTTACTTAGGCTGGTCTCGAACTCCTGAGCTCAAGTGATCCTCCCGCCTCGGCCTCCCAGAGTGCTAGGATTACAGGCGTGAGCCACCTTGCCCGGTCACCACCATTTTTAAAAAAGGTGACTTGGGTAAGGTTGTGTAATATACAATAATGGATGATGTTTTTTGTTCCTTTTGAGTTTCGGTGGTTGTATTTAGGGTGAGGTTAGCTCAAAGTCAATCTTGCAGCAATACAGGGCTGCTTTGTTGGAGGCCTATTTATCTTACAGTTCAGTACCCAGCACATCTCAAGCTCCAATGAAAGATAAGCCATGAGAAAGTGGCTGTTTTTGCAGAAAGACTGTAGATTGCATCTATCTCCTAAATTATTACCTTCTAGTAGACATTTATTTTTCATAAAACGTCTGATGGCAAAGACGGACTATATATCCAATTGGAGAACAGTATCGAAATCCTATTTCCTTCTGGAAAATTTGTGGAATATTTGGAATAGAAAATTTTAATTTAATAAGAAGAAATGAGCATCTGTACTTTTCACCAAACACAATATTTAAATCAAGAAATATAATCTGGTTACCACATCAAAGTCCATATCATCTGAAAATAATTCCAAACTGTCTTCTGAACTGACACTTTCAGCCTGGCTGTAAAAGAAAAAAGAAAAAGAAAATGATTTCTGAGCCATTTTCTGTCAACAGATTTGCTTTCATTTCTAAATTGTCTTTGGAACCTAACTGTAACACTGCTCTTTTCAATGGCCTGTCTCGCCTTTTAGGGAACTGCTGATTGCAGAAATCAACGGATCCCTGAGTGTGCAAAAAACATCAGATTCAGTCCCCGCAGAGCTGGCACACACGAAAGATGAGGCCACATGCCAGGGCCCTACCCTATGATACCAATTATTTGAGGTGCATCTATGAAGTAAGGTCACTTTATTTTTTAAGAAACACAGCGGCCGCATTGCCACATCCAGGGGTTAAGGTGAGGTGGAACAGGGAAATGGGTGTGGCTATAAAAGGGGACACGAAGAATCCTGTGTGATGTTTTGTACCAATGTCAATGTCCTGGTTGTGGTTTGTATGACAGTTTTGCAAGATGTTACCGTTGGGAGAAACTGGGTGGGGTACATAAGATCTCCTTGTATTATTTCTTACAACTGCACATGAATCTACAATGATCTCAAGATAAACATTTAATTAAAACAAAAGTGACTGCTAAATGCCACAGAAATGGAACAACCCTCAGGCCCCTAGAATTCAGAGAAAAATGTGTCTGTTTCCCTCAGCGATTGTCATGAGAATTCTGATCGTGTTGTGATTGTAGTGCCAGCCCAGTTCCTGTCCTCCGAGCCGGTGTACCTGTCCCAGGCATCAACACATTTTCTTAAAATTCCCTTGGAGTAGCCAGGGTTGACAACTAGCGACTTCTGAAATAATGAGTATAAAGGAATCCGCAATCCAGTAAGGGGAGAAACAAAAAATAAATTAAAATAAAATACTTTATGGTCCTATTGCAGCAATTTCGAATGACACAGTGAAATTGCCAACACCTAGGCTAGCAGAATAGTTTAATAAACCAAAGGGCAGAGGATGCTGGGAGGCAAAGACCCAAGATGCAAGGGGCAGGTAGTTTCTGCAAACAGTGGTTGCAGGTACTTATCAAAGAATGCAGAGAGACCCGGGAGATCTCAGGAGTACACAGGAATGTCACCCCTCGCTCCAGTATCTGTTACCGCAGGTGTGGACACCTGATATATGTGTTGATGACAGGCTAAAGGAGTTATTTGCTAAAAACCATCCACAGTTTCCAAGAGAGTTAATCAAGTATGTACTGTACTTTGATACAGTTGATTTCGTTTTCTCTGGGATGAGAATGGACTTCCTCCTGAGTGGCTTTCCTGTTCAAAATATCCAGGTGAAATCCATGCCGTTGGTGATGGTGGAGTGGAAAGAAATAATATGTAATTGGAAATGAGTCCTTGTCGCTTGCTATAAGTTATTCATTTTTCTGCACAGACATACCCATTATTTTTTTCAAAATATTTTATTATTAGAATGATATTCACATAGAAAATGGAGGTCTTTTATCCCGTTGAAATTGGGTTTCAAGCATAAATGTAAAATCAAAGTCACAGTGGCTGGGGTGGGGGTGGGGTGTATTGTCAGAAGCAGGCTACAACTATTGAAGGTCACAAATTGGGGACATAAATTGTGAAATATACATCAGAGTTCTATTTTTGCCTAATCATATATATATTTCTAGCCACAGGTCGTTTCGAATCAAGGGAGAAAATAAAAGGGATGGGCACTTTAATGATTACGTCTTGGAGACAGACCAATCGTTGCCACACACAAGTCACCTGGCACTCATTCCCCTCGAACCTACATGCACTCGTGCCCACCACGTCAAGGTCTGGGCTTGACCTTGGTCTGAAACTGAGAAGTGGTCAAAACTGGTTTTGATTCACTCATCCACTGTCCCCCAAACCCTGTCCCCTGGGCATGTTTCTTCACACCAGTGCTTTTATGGCTTCCAACCCCTCTTCCTGCTATTCTGTCTTAAAACCGCAGCGGGCCTCACTCTCCCCACCCGCCACCTGGCAGGCTCCTACTCATCCTTCAAAACCCAGCTCAGGTGTGACTTTGTCTATAAAGACTCTTCCAAATGCCTCAGGCAGAGATCACATTTTTGGCTTTTGCCCCCAGAGCCCCCACTGTCTGTCGCTACCGTATCACTTGCTCGATGGTCGTGTGTAGTTCTGGGCTGCAGAACCATATCTGACTCGTCTTTGTCTACTCGAGCCCTTGAAGAGTGCCTGACACACCGTTTGCCTCCAATAAATAGACGGTGAGTGAAGGAAGGAAGGGAAAAACTGGGTGAGGAAGCAGATGGGTCCCGCTACCATCTTAAATTATCATCTTAGCTTTTAAATCTGGTTCCCTAACACATGCTATAAAAAAGTACTGTTAAGGGGTGTTATTTAAACGGAGTAACTTCTATATTCAAGATTTCAAAGAGAACATTGACACTCCCACGCACTGCAGATCCTCCTTCAGGCAAAGTGATATGTCTTAAATAATTTGGATCCAAATTGGCTTCACAAGCCAAAAGAATTCAAGTTTTCAATCAGCTGGCTGAACGTACAGGGCAGCGGGCCATAGCAGGGTCACTTCTGGGTGGGCAAATTGAGCTTTATCGGCTGGTCGGCAGCAGGATAAAGGGGAGAAGGGTCCCCAAGAGTCAGCCTGTCTTGGGGGTTGCAGACCCAAATGAATGCAGGGAATGAATACAGGTAAAGCAGGGAAGTGGCCCAGGAAGGACTCGGGCAACTGGCGAGGTCAGACCCCTCCCATGGGAACATTCCCAACTTGGCCCCAGACTTCAGATCTTGTGGTTTTCAAGAGAAGACAGAGATATAGGTTTTTTTCATCTGCTGAGATTTAAATGTTGGCCTCCAAGCCAACAATGTTAAAACACTGGAGCCACACAGAGCAGCTCAGTGGGCCACATCTCCAGTGTGCGGTTACGATGGAGAGTGGAGGGAGGGGGTTCGTGCCACCAAAAGAGGGTGGTGATGTTGAAGGAGTTCTTGGAGCTGATCGTGGGCATGTTAGAGTCACCTCAGTTTCTCTCCAAGAGTTACTTCTCTGAGTCACTGGCTAATGGCAGTCACCTGGTTGCAACCGGCCTGGTATCCTGGGCCCTGGGAATGGCCTGTTGATTGCAGAAGGCAGGACTGAGCCAGAGGAATGAGGGGCCCCTGTGGGGAAGGCCCACAGCACGTGTGCCAGGGGGTGGTTCATGGCCTCATCTCCTGATTCTCCACCTGTTCTGTCCACGTGTGCCCCTCTCAGAGTTTTGTGATAATGTCAGAGAGAGAACTAGAACTCCTGGCTCCCCAGGGTTAAGGGTGAGGTGAATGGACACCACCCTCTAATTCCCAGGTTGGCTTGTAAGTCCAAGTCCGCCATCTCCGCTTTGAGATGGACACATTCTGGGGTTTTATTTTTGTGAGGGAAGTCCCAAATCTCTGCTTTACCTCGGCTACTTTTCTGAGAAGAGTCTTCTGAAAAGACTGATGTCTGCCTGGGCTCCTCCAAGGTGTCTTCTTTTTGATTTGAATGTAAGGAGAATTCTAGAAATGGAAAATAAAGGGGCAGAGGGAGAGAGAGATAGGGAGGGGAAAAAAAACCCTACTTCTGAGAATAAGAGCTTCATCTTGGGGTGAAAGTCGAGTTATCGTCAAAGCTTCCAGGAACGGAAATACAAGGTGGAGACATTGTAAACCAGCAAACCTATCATGCGGATGCCAAGGGCTAGTCTGGGGGGAAGGCAGAATGGGTGATAACTGCCCTGCCTGCCGCAGCTCCTAAAATCCCAGGATTAGCTATTCACTCCTCTGAGCGCACAGCTTAACTCATGTGTGAGCATCTTCTGTTTACATGACAAATCTAGCAGGACTGAATCTTAAGCTGTTGCATGCGAATCTAATACTTCTCAAGTTTCTTTTTCCCATTTGTTTTCTCTCTTGTTCAACACCATTTAGTGAGCTTTCACCAAATGTCATCACTGTTCTCAACACTTTACACACATGACCTAATTTAATCACACTTGTCACGGTGAGAGGCACAGGGAACTGAGCAGGGCACCCATCAGTGATGTGCTGGCCCATGTGTAACAACCAGCTCTCTGGAAAACAAATTCTCCCTGATGCGTAGTTTGCCGATTGCTGTGGTGTAAATGCTCCCACCTGGACTAGCAGCAGCAGTTCTCAGCTAGGCTCCACCAGGGCTCCCCATCCCTCTGCTACAGCCTGGAAACTCTCCCCCCGCAGTAAACTGAGGCAATCCCACTGCTCACCTCACTGATTTCCCCTCTGCTAAGGATTACTCTGCTTTCATTCTTGATGTCCAATGTCCAAAATCTATTGTTTCATATATTTACCCAGTTTTTCAGATTTTTCAGGCAGGAGGGTAAGTCCAGTCTTTGTCACCCAAATGTTTCCGGAAGTGCAAATCTTGTCCTTTGATTTGTGACCCGACTTTTGTCATTTATTAAATTCCCTCAAATAGGTAATAGAATCTATTTCTGGTCCATTGAGCTGACCTCCTGATGCCACCAGTACATTACTGTTTTAATTACTAAGACTCTGCAACAATATATTATATAATATTTTAAAGGGTTAGTAACCTTCTCCCATTACCTTCTTAATTCAAAAGTATTTGTTTATTTTTCTAGATGAACCTTAGAATTATTGTGCAAAGTTCTCTCCACCCAACACCCAACTCCCTGACAAATTTTTGGTAACATTTTTATTATAATTCCATAAAACTTACATGTTAATTTCAGAAAAAATTGGCAACTTTACAACATCCATCTTTCTGTCTGAAAACATGACATATTTTTCTATTTATCAAACCTGTAAGTCACACACGTTAAGGTTATTGTTTTCTTGGATTTAATTTCCTTGTATATTTTCTAATTAATAAAGTTAGTTTATTTAGGTTAATACGTTACGTTAATAAAGTATAATTAACTTTGTGTCCATTTACTTTAAAGAATCCTGTAATAAAATAAAAGTTTCTCAGTTTTTTTGGGGAGAGTGAGTTCTAGTTATGCTATCATATCATCTGCAAATAATATATTTTCTATTTCTCCATGCATATATTTTTATTGCTTTATTCTATAGTTTGGATACGGGACCCTCCAAACCTCACAGTAAGATCTGATCCCCAGTACTGGAGGTGTGGCTTAGTGGCAGGTGTTTGAGTCACGAGGGTGGATCCCTTACGAATGGCTTGGTACCGTACTCACAACAATGAGTGAGTTCTCACTCTATGAGTTCCCACAGGAGCTGGTTGTTAAAAAGAGCCTGGCACGTCCCTCCCTCCCCTCTCACTTCCTTTCTCTCATCATGTGATCTCTGCACAGGTGGCTCCCCTCCCCCTTCAGCCACAAGTGGAGGCAGCCTGAAGCCCTCACCAGGTGCTGGCGCCATGCTTCTTGTACAGCCTGCAGAACTGTGAGCCAAATAAACCTTTTCTTTATAAATTATCCAGCCTCTGGCATTCCTATATAGCAACGCAAATGGTCTTAGACACTTTATATCTGAAATTAGCCTGAGTTTCCAAATTAATAATATATCAAAAATGTGAGAGTGTGAGAATCCTTGTTCAGGTTTTGCTTTAAAAATTCTGACTATTTAAATAACAAACATTGAAGCATATTATTTTAGAGTTAGGGATAATTACTTAATTGGAATTAAAAATACGTGACTTACTTGTTAATAGTTTTGGAAGGATGGTATTTGTTTTTGTTGCCTGCGCTTTTTTAAGTGCCTGCTCCATTTGCCAATGCTTTGGAGACAATTTCAGCAGAAAAAATCCGTATCTCATGTACTCGTTAAGGAGGAATTCTGTTTTTGCTATTTCACTACTCAAAAGAAACGAAGATACGATTAGGTATATCTGTGTGACAGCATGTGAATTTAACAAATATTTGACAAAATTCATTCTCTTGATTGTATTTGGACAATAATTGAACTATCAAAAAGTATAAATATGGCTATAACAATATAGGCTTCAATAAAATACGAAATGAGAAGAAATCTGTAAGCTGTTTGAATAAAACATGCCCAGAGATATGCATGCATAGACTATACTGATGATACTTTTATCCTACTTGTTTATTTTTGTGGGAAACATTGTGTTAAGTTTTAGACACAGGGAGAAATTAGAAGGTAGCAAAAGATGGTACTTTTGCAAGGGGAAGAAAGAGACTAACACTTAATGAGCACCTACTATGTGCTGGGCAATACACAGGACACACTACAGACATGAATTTCATCCTGGCTACAGCACTTTAAAATAGGTACTCTTATTCCCATCTTTGGAGGGAGAACAGAGGACTTGCAAAGTCATTTGTCTAGTAAATGGTGGAGCCAGCACCCAAACCTGGGTCTGTCGGACTCACCTGCCTAAGCTCTCACCAACACCACCAAGTGACTTGGACCAAAAGCTTCTCCCCAGCTTTCCATGGCTTTATGGTAATCATGTTACAAAGCGGATCCAGGGGAATGTTTAAAATGACAGAAAAAGGCTCGCATAAAAGGAGCTCCCATACCTGTACCTTTAAGAGCCTCCCTTATTCATATCCTATTTGAAACACATTTTTGGTTAGTGCAACTGGATTTAGAGAAACTACCATCTGGTTCATTTGCTTCATTTTAGACAAGTTATTGTTCTCCTCCCAAGAAAAGTTCAGGTGTAAGAGGTCTAGGACTTAGTTCTAGAGGAGAGATAAACATCAAATTCTCAGAAAAAGTTCTGGCCAGATGCAGTGGCACACACCCATAATCCTAGCACTGTGGGAGGCCCAGGCGGGAGGATGACTTGAGCTCAAGAGTTTGAGACCAGCCTCGGTGACAGAGTGAGACCCCATCTCTACAAAAGAATTTAAAAAATTAGCCAGGCATGGTGGCACATGCTACTGGGGAGGCTGAGGCAGGAGGATTGCCTGAGCCCAGGAGTTTGAGGTTGCTGTGAGCTTTGATTGCCTCACTGCGCTCCAGCCCAGGTGACAGAGCAAGACCTTGTCTCTTAAAACAAAAAAAAAAAGAAAAAAGAAAGAGAAAAACAAGTTTTAGCATGACCTGATACCAAGACTACAATGTCTCCTGAATCATGAAATTATTGTCCAAGGATGATGACAGAAGGAAATTTCTTTATATATTTACAATTAGTTCAAGTGAGTTTCCTTGATCATGGAAGGAAACATCCAGGTTTGAAAAAGAGTGGTAGACAGTACAATTTTATCCCAACTCCTGCTCCTATAATTTTTCTCATTACAGATCTTACTTTAAAAAATTTTTATTTATTTATTTTTAGAGATGGGAGTCTCACTATGTTGCCCAGCCTAGACTGAAACTCCTGGGCGCAAGTGATCCTCCTGCCTCTGCCTCCCAAGAAGCTGGCAAGAGAGCAGCACACCAGGCAGATCTTAGTTTTTCATAGCAATACTAGGTTCTACTAAGTATAAATATAAAAAATGCTGCCAATCATAACTTTAACAAGATGGTAAAATGAATCCCAATTTCAGAGATGTTAAAGTATAGGAAAAAATGTGTCTGAATGAAGGAAAAAGGGCGCTTAGAAAATAATTTGTTTATTCCTAGCATTGGTTTGCTTCTTTTCAACTCATTTCTTTGCTCTTGTGTTCACGAGTTAGGGAAACTTTTCAGCCAGAGGCCACATACTGTCCTGACACTCGGGCAGGGACAGTCTGTGATGGGCAAGTTCCTTATTTTAAAAACGTGTTCAAATTTATGAAATCATCACTTGCCAAGGATTATCAGGATTACTGGGGCTTCCTAGGCACAAATAGGTTTTAATGGGTCATGGAAATTTGGGCACAAGAAGATGGTGTCCCCTCACCTCTTCATGGCCTGCAGCTCTGTACTCGCTTTCTTCAGCTCTGCCGTCGTTTGGAGTTTGTTTATAGTTTCTTGTGCTGCACTGAAAAGTGATGGAGGTTTGTTAGTTTGTTTTGTTTCGTGTTGTGTTCTGAAAAACTAAAAAAATAAAATAAAAGAAGGAGGGGAAGGGATTTGGCCAGAGTGAAGAAACTGACATCTTAAGAGCATCCACAGATCTCTGGTCATTTTCTCGAAGGAACTCTTCAAAGGCCATCGCGTCATCTTGGAGCTTTCTTTCTGCTTTTGCGAGCTGCCTTTCTTTCACTGCCATGTTTTTTTCAAACTTTTTAATTGTGTTTCTTTTGGTTGACAGAGTATACTAGGAATGTTGAAAACAGAAGTACAAGAACATTATCCCTCATTTCTAGTAGTACATTTCAATAGTCTCATCCTAAAGGGGAAAGTTAGCGTGCACAGTAAGTGGTCATTTGCATTAGAAATAATATTAACAGTTTGCCCAAATCTTGGGGCAATGGTCTTTATTTCAGGAAAGAATTTTATCTGGAGGGATAGTTAAAAGGGAGACTAATCTCTCTTGCTTACTATTAGGCTCTGTGCTGTTCCCAACTGGCTCTGCCCCACAACTCAAAAATAGCTCTGTAACCCTCCAAAGGGCAGGTCCATCTGGCATCACCCACAGTGTGTCACCCTCCAGTACTTTCTGGGCCTTGGGAAACTGGCCTGTCTGCAGACACAAAGGCCACCAGCCTCTCCTCCAACAGGAGGCACCACGGAAAAAGGCAGTTTCAACTCCGCCAGGCCAGTAGTGGTGCATTCCCGGGAGCCAGCCCAAGGGTGTGGGTGTTTAATCATACTCAAGAGGCCTGTTTAGATCCTCAAACACAGCTTCAACATCTGCCTTCTATGTTTTTAGTACAGAATATAAGAATCCACTTGGGTTTTTAATGTCATACATGAAAAATAAGTTATAAATGAACAAAGCCACAAATAAGATAAATTTAAAATATGGAAAGAGATAATTTTAAAGAAATAACAAGCAATAATTAGACCCTCTAAGCTAGTAACAAAAAATATTTCATTCATTAGTTTATTCACGGAGTATTTATTTAGTGCCTACTGTGTGCCAGGACTGTTTTAAGGGGTGAGAATAGAGCAGTGAACAAAATAAACATAATTGCTTTTAGGGAGCGTCCATTCTAGTGCAGGGAGGGATAAAAGGGGATGGGGCGCTCACAGGCAAGGGCAGGGGCTGCTATTATGTATAGAGTAGCCAAGGAAAGGCTCCCTGATGGGATGACAATTAAACAGAAACTGGAAGGCAGCAGGGAGCCAGTCATGAGGCTATCCCAGGGAGCACGGTTCCTCCTAGAAGGAAGAGGCTCCAGTGCAAAGCCTTGAGGTAAGAGAGGGATTGGTGTGTCGCAGGGACAGCAAGGAGGCCACCGTGGCTGGAGCAGAGTGAGCAAGAGAAAGGGTTTGGATCACAATCCTGAAAGGCACAATCCCGAACACTGAAATCTTGAAAGATCAAAATTCCCTTTTCTTATTCAATTTTCTGGAATAGTATGTGTAACATAAAAATTATTTCTTCTTTAAATGTTTGGCAGAATTAACCAGTGAATCTGGATTTTTCTTTGTGAGACGATTTTTACCTACAGCTTCAATTTCTTTAAGAGACATAAAGCTATTCAGCTGATTCATTTCTTCTTAAGAAACCTTTAGTAGTTGGCATCTTTCAAGGAATCTATTTCAACTATGTTGTCAAATTTATTAGCATAAAGTTGCTCATAATATTAAATTCATAATATATTAACATTAATAATATTTTCTAAATGGGTAATTTAGGTCCCAACTCTGCCACAAACAAAAAAAGAAGAAAGAAAGAGGGAGAGAGAGAGAGAGAGAGAAGCCATGCAGCCACTTCAGTTTTTGAAAACTATTACAAGTCACCCTGAGTTAGCCAAACTACAAAATTTCAGAGCATAGTCCCCAAGGTCCCCAAGACTGCCCTCACTTCTGACACCAACTGCAAGTTTGAGGTGTTCCCCCAGATACCCTCAGTTTTGATAATTTGCCCGAAGGACTCACCGAACTCACTGAAAACTATTATACTCGTGCAATGGCTTATTACAAGGAAAGGATACAAATTAAAATCGGCCAGAGGAAGAGACACACAGGCAGGGACTGGGAGAGTTCTAAATGCAAAGCTTCCCGTGCTCCCTCCCCCTGCACTCAGGATGGGTTACCCTCCAGCATCTGTATGTGACAGTTACACACAGAGCTTCAGTGGCCTTTGTGTTCGCTGGGGCTTCATCGGGCAGGCATGATTAATTGATCCACCATGTGGTTCATCTGTCTCCAGTTTCTAGCATGGAGACTGTGACCCAAAACCCCACTCCAAGGCACATTGTTAATATTTCTGGCATGCGGGCATGGTGGCGCACGCCTGTAGTCCCAGCTACTCGGGAGGCTGAGGCAGGAGGATCGCTTGAGCCCAGGAGTTTGAGGTTGCTGTGAGCTAGGCTGACGCCACTGCACTCTAGCCAGGGCAACAGAATGAGACTGTCTCAAAAAAAAAAAAAAAAAAAAAATTTCTGGCATGGCCAACCCCCACCCTAAGACTGTTGGATGTGCCAGCTCTACCTTAAAGGAAGATACCTTTATTAGGTATTAGGTATGACATGGATTACCTCCCAGAAGTCAAGGGCAAAGGCCAGACTCTTTTTGGACAAGGCCAAAGTTTTTGCTGCATACAGTTGTTTCTCAGTATCCAGACGGAATTGGTTCCAGGACCCCCAGGACACCGAAATTCATGGATGTTCAAGTCCCTTACATAAAATGGCGTAGTATTTGCATATAACGACGCTCATCCTCCCGTATATTTTGAATCATCTCTAGATTAGTTATAACACCTAATACCATTTAAATGATACGTAAATAATTGTTATACTGTACTTTAAAGAAATTGTACTATTTCTTATTGTTGTATTGTTATTTTTTTATAGTTTATTATTATTATTATTATTTTCTATCTGCAGTTCATTGAGTCCACAGGTCTGGAACCTGCAGATACAGAGGGCAGACTGCACAGTCTTTTTGATAAATGGACTCCATTGAGTCACTTTGGGACAGGCAGGTGGGGGGAGGGAAGGGTAGTACAGAAGGGGAATGAGGCACATTTAATACAAATGTCTTGAAATCCTCGTGTATTGGTCAGGCACCACCTTAAACTGTCTGGGGCATCAGGTATGTCAGCAGGATTTTATAATAAAGGCCAAACTCATGCCCAGGGAATGATATTTAATGAACAAAAGCATCAGGTTCTCAGTTACTGTAAGTGAGATCTTTTATGCTGATTGCGGCTGGCAGCCTACGACAGTATTAACTCACTAGATTTATGCTCCAACATGTGTGATGTGAAATTATGCAAAGTCAAGTACATTTTCATTTACTCATTAGCATCAAAGACTTTAATCAAGAAGATTATCTTCTGTAGGTGATCAGAGACTTGACAACAGAGGTATAAATAAGATTCAGTTCATTTGTTTTGTCATCATTCTCCTACTGTTAAGTGCTTGGTGTCTCTGTTTCATCTATGGCAGAGGAGGATGCCTATAGAGATATTAAATTATGTTTTCAGGTATAGGCCTGGCTTCTAGTTAAAGGTAGAATGGTAGGATGAAAGGTTGATGGTAGGATAGAAGCCTCTATTATTTTTATAAAAGATGCCAACAGGGACCTGGCATTCTCTTCTGGCATCAGTGGGTGTCAGGGAAGCTGAAAGAATTTCAGGATTCTCTGGACTTCCAGAGTGCTTGGATTCCCACCATATTCAACCAAAGGAAAATCTGGATTAAAGTGGGACTCTCCGGTGCTACCCTGGTTGTGTGAGAAAGAATTGGGAAAAAGGCAGAAACTGGGACCAGACATTTCCTAGAATAAGTTTCCTGATCGATTCTAGAAATATGGAACCTCACCTAGGCTACTAGAATGTAAGCTCTCTGAGGGCATGGTCTTTGTTTGCCACACTGCTTGGCACATAGTAAACAATAAATATTTTTCAAATAAATGAACACAGAAATGAATCAATCTGTTCTGCCAATGGATTTGGGGCATATAATGGGAAAATAAAATGTCAAAGTAAATACTGGACAATGCTATGCAAGAAGTCTTCCATTTGGCTAATGGGAGAAAGAAATTATTTCTACTACCTCAAGCAGAAATCTGTCTCTCTGGTCATTAATAAATTCATGGACAGTCCTTTTTGAGTCTGAACCTATAAAGGAAATTGAAATAGACTTAAGTTTAGTTCATTATGCTTCAAAGATGTTGTCTAAAATAAAAGCCATATAGTTAAATTAATGCATATAATATGTATCTAAACATTAAAAAAATAATATGCCTTCAAATAAACTTTTCCTAACCACTCAAAAATGAATTTAATAATAGTATCTACCATTTATTTTGTGTCCGGCATACTCCAGGAACTTCATTAGACACTTTAAATACATTTAAATCATTTAATCCTAACAACCTGAATTAAGGCACTTATTACTACTATTCCCATCCCATTAGTGAGGTCCTAAACCTTAGAGCTGTCAAAATTCTTGTCCAAGATTACACAGCTAATGAATGGCAGAGAAGAGGGATATATCGCCTAAGCCCATTTCACTCTAAATAAGACTGCTTTCAATCTTAATGCTTGGCCAATCTAGACATAAAACTGAAGTCCTTAGGCAAATGTTTTTGGGAATCACAAACCAAATTTGTGGCAGTAAAGGAAAGGAAGACAACTAATTTTACCATCCAGCAATAGAAAATACCAAAAATTTCCTTTCAAGTTTTCCTCATTCTGGAAAACTGTACATATATTGCATCTCAATAATGTTTGCTGTGTGAAAAACCAACAGAATGTGGTACAGAATAAACTCTCTTAGTAAAAATGAAGATAGAAGTAGGAATAAAATATTTCCCAAATAACCACTGAGCCTGCGCTGCACTGGAGGCCACAATCTTTCTGGGGTTGTATTTGGCCTCCACCTCTTGCTAGCTCTATGCCTCAGTTTCCTCATGTGTAAAATATGGGTAGCAATGGTGGTAGATCACTGTTCTCAAACATTTGCTGCCGCTATCTGTGAGGGGATTATCTCCTCCCCCAGTAGATGTCAGGCTCGACCATCAACTGGATGTAGTCCATGGAATGGAGGCAGACGTGCTCTATGTTGCTTCCAAGAAGCAGCTTCGAGAACCATCACCCCGTTTTCTCTTCTTCCCTTTGCCATCCCAGGCAGAAACAGTTCCTTCAGCAGAAGACCCGGTGAAGAGCACCAAGGTTGAAAAGTAAATGAGAATTAAACTTCTGTTGTTGGAAGACACTGAAATTTAGGAGTGGTTTGTTCCCAAAGCATAAATAAGCCTAAGTAGACACATTACTTCCTCATGGTGTTGTAAGAAGGAAGTAAGGCAATGTATTATAAAACACATAGTATTTACATTATAACTTCTTGATAATTGTTAGCCATTATCATTTAAACAATACAATTGGAATGAGTGCTCGTTTAACTTTTTGAGGTCAATAACAATGGCTAAATGATTATTATAATCATTACTAAATATTAATTGGGAGGTAACGAACAACAAGCTTTGGAGCTTGGTTTGAATTCTGCATTCACTCAGAGACTTTGGGTGAGTGACTCAGCCCCATTAACCCATTTTCACCAGATGCAAAGAGGAGGCAAAAACATTTAACAGCGTTTTGTTGAGGATTAAATAAAATACATACGAAAGCAATGAGCACTTAGCACACAGTCATCTTTTCCACACTTCTTCCTACTTTATAGTATGTAAATCACCAACATTCATAAAAGGAGAGAGTCATACAATGAACCTGTACCTTGTCACCTACGTCAACATTATCAACATTGTACCAGTCTTGTTTCATTTACTGCCACCCCTCCTCAATTTTTCCCACCTTGGAATATTTTAAAGCAAATCCAAGCCCTTGTATCAATTCATCCATAAATACTTTAGTATGTATCTCTACTAGATAAAAAGCATTAAAACATAACTATAATACCATTATACCTCTAACAAAATGAACTCTACTTTAGTGTCATTTTATACTCAGCCTGGGTTCAAATTTTCCCAGTTGTCTCAAAAACACATTTTTGAATTTAAAAAATTTAAATCTAAACAAAAATCAGTTTGGTTGGTACAGCTCCTAAAGTCTCTTTTTTTGTCTATAACAGCCAACCCCCTTTCCCCACACCTCCCAACACTAACTTTTTCCATGCCATTCATTTGTTCAAGAAACCAGGTCAATTTCTCTGTAGGATTTCCCACGTAAGGGGTCTGGTGCGGGGAGTTAGCTACGCTCCCAGCAAAAAATCGGGTCCCTTAGGCAGGGGTCTTCGCAAAGGATAAGGAAATAATAGAAAATAGAAATAAAAGAATATAGAAATAAAAGAATACACAGAGACGAAGATACAGTTTTATAATAGTATGGATTTATAAAGTGGGGGACTCGGGAGACCCCCACAGCATTTCTGTGAACTGTGAGGCCCAGAATAAAGTTTCACATGGGTATTTATAGGTACAGAGATCGGTTGCCAGGGGTAACAGGTTTACATAATAACAGGTAGTTCGTTTTAGGTTAAAAGTCTTTCAGACGGCTTCTATAGATCCCTTAACTAACTCTATCTCTGTGAACAAACGGTTACAAAATCTTTCAAGGACAAACTTCTAAGTTCTAAGATAAAGCTACCACTTAACAGAAGGGTTAAACAGAGATATAGTGGCTCTATATTTCTTTATCTAGTTATTGTGGATGGAGAAAGGTAGTCAGGAGTCAAGCAGGAACTGTCCCTTGGGCTAATTGCTTTTAGCCGCAGGTGTCTGTCTCTCTGGCGGGCACTCTTTGATCAGCTATCATCCCTTGGCTCCATGCAAACCTGCTTTGTCGTTCAAAGCAGGCAAAAACCACAGGTTTGAGACTGCAGTGTCACCTTGGAAAGCAGCTGTCACTGACCTTTGAGATGCCCTCCTGAGGCGAGGCAGCTTTCGATATGCAAACTAACACATTCACATATTCCTTTAGGGCAAAGCCCTGCAAAACTCCTGAGACCATTTCTGTCTCTAATACAGCAATAGTAATCTATGGAGCGACAGTATGGCATATTGCATCCTTGTGATGTTATTTAACATGGTCCTCGATCCCTCATATTTACTCGATTAGATTCAGGTTCAATTTATGCCAACATTTTTAATAGAAAAAAAGAATGAAAGTGCTTACTGTAGCTTTCATTTGGTTACTTCCAATGGTGTGGCTGAATTGAAAATAATCTCCTGTGCTGTCAACTTACTAAATATTAGAGCCACGCTCAACCCACCATTTCAGGCTACTTTAATGTGGTACTGTCAGGCTGAGTAGACGGAATTTTATTCTTTGACACTAATTAGACTCATTATAGTGGGTTTCCCATCTTGGCTAACCTAGCTGTCGGGCAGATCTTTCCCCAAAGTGTCAGTGCTTCTTGGCCCCAGAGCACCTGCATCACTCACTGTGGATGTAAGGCCAGCCAGAGAGACCTGAGTCTGTAGGGTTCTGCAACGGAGACACTGTTCAGAGGTGCTGCACTTTGAGGGCTGAACCAAAGTCAGGCGTCCGGCGTGGAGATGGTAGTGGCACTTGTATCATGTAGGCTATCTAATCTATGACACTCGGTTGCCTGTGTGATTTCTTTGATGGGGACGTAGCAGTTTGCTGCTACTGCATACACACAAATAACATATCCTAGGCTCCCAAAGTGATGTCACTTGTTTATTTTACTTTCATGTACGTTTGTTTTCAATCAGAATTCAGGCAGGGAACGTAAGGGTGAGGAATAGGGGTTTTGCTCAATTCTTGATTGGAAACACGGTCTGAGGGCGATTTTATTTTAAGTGAAAATGTCCAAATTGCTTATCTGTGCAATAAGCAGAAACTGACAACCTGGTTTCCATTGCTGACAGAGACCAGTGTGCCTTGGATAATGTCAAACGATTTTACTACTTCCTTTTTAAGAGTCTACACGATGCCATTTACTCTTAAGAGACCAGTAACCTCTCCATTAAATATCAATGGTGTCGAAGCAGGCTATCTGCAACACCATACTTCCTAGTTATATCAGAACGGCTGGAGTGGCAAGGAATTTAAAAATCAGCCACTTTGTGCAGAACTCTCTCGAAAACACATCACATGTCATTTTTTATTTATTTATTTTTTGAGACAGAGTCTCACTCTGTTGCCCTGGCTAGAGTGAGTGCCGTGGCATCAGCCTAGCTTACAGCAACCTCAAACTCCTGGGCTCAAGCGATCCTCCTGCCTCAGCCTCCCGGTAGCTGGGACTACAGGCATGCGCCACCATGCCCGGCTAATTTTTTCTATATATTTTTAATTGGCCGATTAATTTCTTTCTAATTTTAGTAGAGGCGGGGGTCTCGCTCTTGATCAGGCTGGTCTCGAACTCCTGAGCTCAAACAATCCGCCCGTCTCGGCCTCCCAGAGAGCTAGGATTACAGGCGTGAGCCACCGCGCCCGGCCCACATGTCATTTTAAACACTCTTGATGACCTAGAGTTCACCACTTTACAGAGGTGAACTATGAGACACAGGACTGAACCTAGATACACCCTAGAGCTTGTGGTATAGTCACCGGCATCACCTTGTTGCCTGTCACTTGCTGCTTTTTCATACAATTATATATGCACTTGCAAGATCTTCTAAATAAGTGAACACGGCTTCCTTTTTCTATATTAATTATTGAACCCAAAGCACTTTCCTAAGTGGTTTTTTTCTTGTTCTCTGAAGATTTTTTTTTTCATAATTTGGGAAAGTGCATGGGCTTTGGGAGTCAGATGATTTTTTTTTTATAAGTTACCAAAGCAAATCCTGGGCACTTTTATGTATGTCCTTCCCTCCTTTCTTCCTTCTTTCCTTCTTTTAAATTTTTTAACTTAAAAATTTTGATAAGATTCATTTTGGTCATGCCTGTAATCCTAGCACTCTGGGAGGCCGAGGCGGGCGGATCGTTTGAGCTCAGGAGTTCAAGACCAGCCTGAGCAAGAGCGAGACCCCGTCTCTACTAAAAATAGAAAAAATTAGCCGGGCATGGTGGCGCATGCCTGTAGTCCCAGCTACTCGGGAGGCTGAGGCAGGAGGATCGCTTGAGCCTAGGAGTTTGAGGTTGCTGTGAGCTAGGATGATGCCACGGCACTCTAGCCCGGGCAACACAGTGAGACTCTGTCTCAAAAAAAAAAAAAAAAAAAAAAAAAGATTCATTTTGGGGGAAGATTTTATGACTCCATCATTCTACCATTAATCACTTTAACTTCATTAACTTCAAACTACTTTCTATCTCATTTAGAGGCACTTCTTGGTTTGATAAGCAGGAAATATCCATGACACTTGATGACCAGATTGCCCTCGTTCATACAGCAATAATCATCATCTTATAGTATTTTAACATATTGCCGCCAAAGGTCATTAAAACCAGTTATGTTTTTGCAACAATGGGTAAGCTTATTTAATTCTATTAATATTAGTTTCTTGATTCTGGATATATGAGTTCTATGTCCTGGACAGCCAAGGCTTCTTCATCTTTAGAAAGTTTCTATAGTTCCACATCTAGAACTGAGCCGTTACCTTTATATTTTATCCACCTTTGCCAACTCTAATACTATATTATTTTGGCAGTAACTTTCTTCCTGGGAGCCATGAAAATGAGTAACAGTCATCTTGGAAAAGTATGTTTCTTATTTGAAATAGATTTTCTCTCAACTCTCAACCTCCATTTACAAAGAGCTTCCCCCTACCACTATAAGACAGCACACTTTCTGTTTTTCTTACCCCCAATAAGTCCCCTAAACCTGACATTAATAATAAATATTCAAAACAATGTTCTTAAACAAAGAGTGTTAGACTTACCTTCCGTTAATTTGAGAAGAAGAGTAGGATCTAGCCCAAACTTTTCAAAGCTACCACCTGTGTCAGAGCGGAAAACTAGTTGCTTCAGGTGTGAACGACTCTTCATTCGGGATGAAAAAGTAGACTTTTGGTGGATTTTCATGTTATGGTTCATAACTCTTTCCTGCCCAAGTAGAAAAGTTTGGAAGAATTTTTAACGTGCTAAAGTAATGTTGTCTTAAAATTAGTGATCATATAAAAAATATCATTTGCAACAAATGATATTAACATTAAAGAAGCATCCCCAAGCTCTTATCATCGAAGGAATGTGAGCAAAAATATAAAAAAATTTAACCTTTATTAAACATGTGCATTACAAATACGAGACTAGAAAATGTCTTCCTGGCTTTCTTTTCACAATTTTGTCTTGCTCAAAATGCAGGCAAATTGTGAAAATTCCAAGGGTTGGTTCTGTGGCATTGAAAACTTGAGAGGAAATGGATTCCCCAGTAGATTTTTTTTAAATCAGGCTTCTAATTTCATTAATCTTTTCTCAATTTAATTTTGGGTAATTTCAACAAAACTACAACACGTGCAAAAAAAAACCCAGCAGACAAATCAGTCATTAACCATTTCTAGATATTTTCCTCATTCTAATTCGAGTAAAGAAAGTCTGTAATCAACCTTTTCCTCTGGGAGGAAAGAAAGTAAGTCTCCTGACCTGTGAACCAGGCTATGTAAGGAATGACCACACAAGTAGGGAGATGAACTCTGCAAGACACAGTGGGAAAGTTAGCCTCATTGCTGATTTAGCTTCAGACCAAATAATTCTAACCCCCTCCTCCACTTGTATCCACACACACATATGCATTGTCTTATCCATATCTGCTTGGCAAATTTGACTTATTCTTGAAGACTCAGCTCCTGTTGTCTCCTCAGTGAAATCTGTACACACACCACCACCACCCTCTTCCCACAAACAAAGATGGGCACTCCTTTCTCTATATCTCCTTTGCATACCTCTATGACTGTATTTCATCAACTCTAAGATGCCACTTACTGTAAGATGCACTATTATTTTATGCACAGTCAATGATGTATGACATCCAGCTATGCAGGCTAGATTCCAATTCCAGAAGTACAAAAACGTGGAAAAAGTGGGTGTTAGAATCAATGAAGTAGGGTACACAGTACTTGTCACACTGGACTGTAGGGGTGTCTTTGTCTTCCTCCATTAGGTGGCAGTCTTTGCGGGTCCCTACCAGGTGCTGGATGTTGTTCCTTTGTTCCGGTTCATGCTGTCCCCCTACCTGTGTGTGTCAGTAGCTGACTCCACATCTTAACCCAGCAGAGTTCACAAGAGCAATGGCTAAGAGGCTATGATTGTAACATTCATTGGATTGGGGTTTTAATAAAACCTTACCTTTCTCTTTGCTGCCATTTCATTTTCTTTGAACATAAAGAGATCTTTGAAAAAGATCTTATAAGGCCTGTCCTTTTTGATTGAGTCATCCTTTACTTTATCTGTTAAAAAAGAAAGAAAAAATGAATGAATTCTGTCACCCCTCCTCTGTTGACCAGAATGGTAAGGATCCCACCAGCCGGGGTAGAGTGAGTGAGATATGGGGGTCTCTGAGAAGGGAGGATGCAGAGAGCCTCACCTCCACATCTCCTGGGCAGGAGCCTCAGCTTCTCTGTCTGTTTCTCACAGCATGGAGCACAGTGATTAGTGCTTCATGGGGAATGAGTTGATAAATAAGGAGGTCTTTAACAGAATAGTAGGATCATATTTTGGGATATTAAGATGTTCCTTCCCATCACTATACGTATCTCCATCGTTACCCTTACACCACCATTTCAACAGCAACAGACACAGCCACCAGCCTCTGGAAGAGCTTCAGTCCCGACTAGAGAGTCTTTGAAAAGAAAGTCAAAGATAATAACAAGTGCTGGAGAGGATGTGGAGAAACTGGACCCAAATACACTGCAGGAATGCAAATGGCGCAGTCACTTTGGAAAAGTCTGGCAGTTCCTTAAAAAGTTGAACACAGAATTGCCATATGACTTATAGAAGTAGAGCCCTTAATTCTAGCTTGGCACATGAGCATCCAGAGTAAAGACTATGTTTCTCAGCCTCCTTTGGAGCCAGGTATAGGCATGTGACTAAGTTCTGGCTAAGGGGATATCAACAGAAGTAGTGAATGCAACTTCTAGGCATCTTTCCCACATCCCCTTTTCTCCTCCTTGCTGGCAGGAATATGGACATGATCGCTGGTGCAGAAGCAGCCATCTTGGACCAAAAATACAGCCCAGCAACAAGCTAGGAGGGGCCTGAGCCCTTGATGTACGCCTCCAGGTGGGGCCTGGAATGCTTATATACAGACTTCTTTTACCTGAGAGAGAATAAACGTCTGTCACGTTTAAGCCACAGTTGTTTTATGTTTCCTGTCACTTGTAGCCAAACTTTTTAATTCTAAATACAGATAGTACCAAATTGTTTCCCAAGGAGGATGCCTATAGAGCATGTGCTACCCATAACAAACTCTTGGTGTTATGCAATTTTTAAATCTTTGCCAGATTTATAAGTGAAAAAAACTTATTCCTTGTATACTTACAAATAAGCAAGAGGATGAGGAGAAAAGGGGTGGTCAGGGAAAGAAGAGATTTTGATAAAGTTTATTTATTCATGTCCTTTATTATGACTAATAATTGAGTTGATTATTTTATTGTCATGAGAGATTGTAGACAATTTAATGCATCCCCTAAAATTAAAAAGTAGAACAGAATCTTTTCAGCAGGTGGTTTATAAACTCTTCACATCTTATGCTCAGTGTGTAGCATTCTCCTTTTTTTATTCTCCCAATCTGCTACGGAGCCAAACTGTACTAGGCATAAAGTGAGAACTTATTGATTAATCTCATTTTACCTTCAGGATTCGGTGATGGCGGCAATAAATTTGATGACATTTTGTCTCCTCGTCCTGTCCAAAGAAAAATAAATGTATTTTTTAAAATTCTGTAAACATCTTGTAAAAGGGCTAAGTTCAACTGCCAGTGACTCCCAATCCGCCTTTGTGGCTTTTAAAAGCAGTGTACACACAAACCCTTTGACCCAGCAATTCCAATCCTAGAAACTTATCTCAAGAAAATAATCAGACAAGTGGGCAAAAAAGTATATGCAATAATGTTTGTTCAGTGTTATTTAATAAATAGGATTTGACTAAATAACTATGGTACACCCATAAGATTAATTGCCCTATGGCAATATGACTATTAATATATATTACCATATGGCCCCTTAAAATGATATAGTCACTATTTACCTCTGTCCACTGTATATAAGTAAAAAACAAAATACTACAAGAGTAGAAATATTGTGGATAAAAAATTGCATCCAAAAATCTGAGAGGTGTTTGAAAAACTGTTCACCAAACATTAACCGTGATTATCTTTGATTTGGTACAATCTCTCCTTTTGTTTTTATCAGGTTTGGGATTAGGGTTAGGTGATCGAGGTACTCACCTTAGCTGCAAAATGTAAGGAATTGCCAAAAGGAAAAAAATCCTAAGTTATCAAGATAAAATAATACGTTAATGTAATATTTTAAAAAAATTCAAATTAATGCAGGAAAAACCTATGATAAATGAAATATCAAAATTTCGAATACAGATGGCATCTGACTCTGTACTTATATGAACCTAAAACTCAGAGCCTCACTTGCCTTACCTGGATCCAGACCCACAGATCTCATCTTTATTTATAATTTTGATATTTGGTTCATCATGGATTTTTTTGGATTAATTTTTATTTTTTAAAATAGCAAATTAAAATATTGCTTATTTTGATTACTGAGTTTTTTGTCTCCTCCTTAAATTTTGTGACTGAGGCAAGTGTCTCACCCTAATCCTTGCCCTGGTTTCTATATTTTTTAATATCATTCAAATTTCTCAGTGAGCTTCTGTAACTGTTACAATGAGAAAAATAATAAAGATATACTCATTTTGGGGCTAAAGGATACTCAGGAGTCTATACAAAAAGGTGTGCCCACAACAGGAACAATGGGACAATACATCCCATTTTGGGCTGCCCATTTAAATGTATGCCTCAGTAATCTCAGAGAGCCACGTTTAAGAGCTAAATGTCCCAGAAGCACAGTAGCAGGTGATTAAGAACACAGACGTTGGAGTGGACACGCTTGATTTCCAATCTTGGTTTGACATTTACGGATGTGTAAGCAAGTTCATTTAACATCCAAAAAATATTTACTGAGTACTTTCTGTGTGGCAGGCACTGTTCTAGGTGTGGGAGGCAGGGCAACTTTTAAAAAGTCAAAAGAGAACAAAAGCCATTGTCTTCACGGAGCCTACATTTTAATTCCTTGGTATCTCTGAGCCTCTGGTTCCTATGCCCTAAAGTGGGCATAGCAGTTCCACCTCTTAAGGTTTTCTGGAAGATTCGAGGAAGCGATAGATTTAACCAAGCGAGTGCCTGGCTTACAGACTGACTCAGAACTGAGGAGCTATTTATTATGCACTAATATTTACTATAATAATTAGCATGTGATTTTAGTTCCAGTGATTATAAAAACAGAGATGAAAAGGAGTAGAGAAATTATGTTGAAGTTTACAAAAGAGAAAAAATTAATAAAAAAACCTACAGCATTGATATTATACTTTTTCTAATGACTGAAGATTTTTTCACAGGCATTACTTTTATTCTGATAGCTAGAAAAGGAGGATGGGTGAAAAATTGGTGACAATCTGTGGTTTGGTAAGTATTTGGAATTTGGATGGCTAGTACTAAAGATGGGTAGATTTTCTTAATTTTTGCACTCTGCACTCATCCTCACCTTTAGGATTCTTCTCACCTTTTGCTTGTCACCCTTTTGCTCCTTTGATCCTTCTATTTATAATAAATTCACTTCCCTCCCAACTCCCATTCTCTTTAGCCTAAAAGTCTACCTGCAATGAGCATGTTTATCCATGGGTTCTAGCACTTTCTCATTCACAGAAAACTGGAAGTTCTGTTCCTCTAAGCCAACTGCTAAGAGCAGATGTCTGCTCTAATTCCATCTCTTACATAACTCGGAGAACATGTAAACGCAGTCAGCAGCCTCTGGGAGTTGTTATACTTCCCTACTTCCATACACACGAATCCCTCTATTAATTAATGAAGGTTGGTGAAAAAATGGTAGGGCGTGAGAGCATGAGAACCAGCTGTTCTTAGGAAAGGATTATAAAGTTCCCTTCCCAACCAGAAAAAAAGTCAAAGGCCGTGAACATTTTTGTTGTGCAAAATAAAAACAGCAGGATGGCTAAACAAAGGCACTGTACTGAAGGCGAGGGAGATTGTAATCAGACTATGTAGCAAATGCCTGAAAATTCGCATCATAAATATGTGTGCAGATTCAACTTCCAACAGATGAAAATTATAAAGTGCCCAGAAATATCAGGGATGTAAAATGATGGTGTGTGACTGCAAGGCATCCTCTTTACGGGTGGCATAGACTAAATGATGAAGAGCATGGACTCTCCTTATGCCCCTCACGCTTCAATTTCCTCACCTTTCAAAAGGGATAAGCCCGCCTTCCCTGAGGTGAGTTAACACCTCCAGCCTTCGCATAGTAAGTGCCACGGGAGTGCAGGCACGTGGGGAAGAGCATTCTAAGGCGGGAAGATGCCTGGAGTGTTTCACAAACAGTGAGGAGACCAGTGGGATGTAAGCACAGAGGACAAGGAGGAGAGAGAGATGAGTCTAGAGAGATAAGTCTGAGATCATTAGGGCTCTGGGATTACTCAGGGAAATGGAGATTCAGTCAATGAATCACTCTGACTGCTGAGCTGAAAAGAGACGGTAGAAAGGGATGAGGGGTCACAGAGGAAGACCTGTTGGGAGGCTACAGTCCGCAGGAGGCGGGAGACCAAGGGGTCCCTTACATAGTAAAGGAGGTGGTGAGAGGTGGTCTCATTCTAGATATATTGAAAGTAGAGCCTGCAGGATTGGCTTATGGTTTGGATGTGGGGTACAAGATGAAGAGCAGAAGAAAGGATGGAGTTGCTATCAATGGAGACAGAGAAGGCAGTGGGGGTGGTTGTGAAGATCACAGACTCAGGTTGGAACATGTTAAATTTGAGATATCTGTTATATATACAAAGAGAGACATGAGTGTAAAATATATTGTTCTCCCAAGTGAACACCATGCTGGTTGATTTAGTTAATTCTTGTATTCTTCTAACATTTATGCAATTATACGTGATCATTGAGTTGGGTCTTTTGATGAGTGTCATTGCAGAGGAAGTAAGAATGGCACTGTGGAAAGACCCTGGCCTTTGCAGGGCAGAGAGTTTTGACTCCTGCCTCTGACTTGTACCAGTGCTTTCTCTTAGGCCTAGAGAATTAAGCTCAGGGCACCTTAGAGTCTTCTACCAAATATAGATAATAATGCCTTCCTTACAGGCTTGCTGTAATTTTCAAACACTTAGTGTACGTAAAGTGCCTCCTTATAGTAGGCTGATGGAGACGTGATCACTTATATTTTCTGCAGAGTAGATATTGTCCAGATCTGTCCTCTTTCTGGTCCACTGTCTTGTGAATAACCACCAGCATTTGAGAAGAATGGGGACACAACTGTCAACTAGCTTTCTTAAGAAACCCCCAATCAGAGTTCTCAAAGCCTGGTCACTTGAGAGGAATCTACAAGCAATCTCAGCGCAAATTTAGAGGACCTGGCTCAACTTTGTTCAGATTCTTAACATTCCAAACTCCAGGAAAGTGGGGAAAGAAGAGTGGAGTTCTATAAGGTCCAATCCTAAAGTTCTAGACCAATTCTAAACAAAGTTAACAGTAACACTGTCTACCAGATACTATTCGAAACAGTTTGTGTTTGGTTGTCACAATCCTCTTTACAACTCAATGAAAATGGATTTCCAGATTATCTCAATGAGATTAAAAGCTATGTTTTTCTCCCGCATGCCTATTAGGATTTAGACAGGTTCTCTCAGACCCAATGCCTGGCAAATTTTTTTCCCCACCTCCTCCCCACCTACCTTGGACAAACACTAGGAGCAAGGGCTGTGAACTGTGTCCTTGGAGAGGACATGGAGAGACCAGAGCTAGCAATTTTTTGTTTACCGGAAAGCCAGGAGCCACTAGGTCCTTGGCTTGCTCCATGACCTGCCTCTTTTGATTGGGTCAGAAGCACAGCATAAGGGTGAGGAAACTACTCTCAGCTTGACCTTTAGGCGCTGATGGCGTCAAGCTAACTATTTTCTGTGGGCTTTTCTGTTGACATTTCTGACTGACCCTTTTGCAAAGTGAAAATAATAACTGGAGGTTAAGAGGAAGGAAGAATAGGGGAAAGGGAGTTCGAGACCAGCTTGAGCAAGAGCGAGACCCCGTCTCTGCTAAAAAAAAAATAGAAAGAAATTAGCTGGACAACTAAAAATATAGATATATCTAAAAAAAGAAAATTAGCCGGGGATGGTGGCGCATGCCTGTAGTCCCAGCTACTCAGGAGGCTGAGGCAGAAGGATTGCTTGGGCCCAGGAGTTTGAGGTTGCTGTGAGCTAGGCTGATGCCACGGCACTCACTCTAGCCCGGGCAACAAAGCGAGACTCTGTCTCAAAAAAAAAAAAAAAACAAACAGAAAAAAAAAAGAAAACTAAGACCTGCTATAGGGATGTTGGTTATTACCAAGGGAAAATGTGTTATCCTTACCCCTCTGTAATTACTGAACAGTAACCAAGAAGGAGAGAAATCCACTCATCCTTCCTGCTTCTGCAAACCTCTTGGTTGCAGGGGCTTCTCAGGTAATGTCTATCTGGACTGTTAATCAGATGCACTCAGTTCACCCACAGATACAAATGCCCACGAAAAAGAGGTATAATTTCTTTTAAACTTGTCAAGAACTCGTAAGCTTTAAGTACATGGTACTTTTCATGAAGTCAGGAGAGGAACTAGTATTGTTAGCTGAAATCTAATCTTTAACTTAATTGAACAGCAAGACAAATATCAGGATTAAAATAAACTAATATTATTATTAATAATGATACCTATTACTTGTTTAGAGCTAGACACTAGGCTAAGTGATTTACATTATCTTATTTAAAGCTCAAACAAGCCCATAAAGCAGAACCAATTATTCCCATGATAAGGATGAGAAAACTGAAGCTTAGGGAAATTATTGTAAGTAAATTTCCTGAGATCAAACAGCTCATAAGTAACAGAAGCGGGACCTCCAAACCTTCTATTTTTCTATTATAATCTAATATAATGTCAACCCATCCTTTATACCTATAATTGCATAAATCTGCAAATACACTTATAATTGCAAAATTTAACAGATTTTATCTTTAGCAGAGATTTTATAAAATAAAATTTTAATATTTCTCTATGATTAGTGACTTTACATGTTTCTGTTCCCCACTATTTCCACTTTTCTTATTATATATATATTAACTTATTAAATATACTTACACTTAAATTTATATATATAACATATATGTATAAACTTTTCAAAGCAAAGTCTAGACAGCACACATCTGTTTATGATTGTGTATCTGAGCTGTGAGTCATCTTCCGGTGGCTTTCTTTTTCCCCCTTAGGGTCTCTTTCATTAAATTATCTAATTATTTTCCAATTCCTTTCTCTTTTCTACCTGATCTTTCATAGGCCATAATATGAAGCTAAAATATATTCTTATTTATTGTGGTCATCTAAAGGAGTTTTGCTTTCCGTTCTAGACTTTTAAATGGCTTTAAAATGACACTAAATGAACTTACTTTTATATTTTGTGGTTCTGCAGGCTTTGCCTGTTCTTATAGTATATTATTTGTGTCCGTATCTATCTTCTTTTTGATTGTAAAGTCTTTGCGGGGCAGAGAAAGTGCGTTTCCTGTCTTTGTACCTTCCACAGGCCCTAACACAGAGTTTGTAATAAAAGTGTATGAACAAAAGAAAGTAATTAAGAAGTCAAAACAAAAGCCGGTGCCTGCCAGTGTTTTCATGGCCATTGACAGGCAGGAAGAGACGTGGGTGAGAATTACAGACCCTCTTCCTTCAACGCGATTCTGTGTCCGGCTTGTAGACCCTACCAGGTACAGCTGGGGTGGGCTGGGCTGGGGCGGACACCGAGCTGAGGCTTGTTTTACCTCTACGAGTTCGAATCCAGGAGCGGTTCCAACCTATCCTTCAGGAAGGCGTGGTGGGGAAGGTGGGCGGAGGCGCCCATCGATCCTCTCGTCTCGGCTCTATCACCCCCCGCCCGGGTTCCCCTTCATCCCGGGACCGTCAGGTAGCGGATGCGGAGCGGAGCAGGCCAACCGAAAAGTGCGCGGCACCCGCCACCCTGCTTCGCGGCCGCGCGGACCCAAGAGCAACCCCCCCCCCCCCGCCAGCCGGTCCTCCGCACCCCCACGTGGCCTCTGCGGACCTCCGCGACCCTGGGCACAGGTGCCTGCCGTCGTGCTCCCTCCAGGGGCTCTGTCTCCAGGATCCCGCCCTGGCCCTGGGCAGAGGTCCCCTCCCACCACAGTCTGCCCCCTCCCGGGGTCTACCCCAGTGTTCCCGCCCGTGCCCCTTGGCAGACGTTCCCGCCCCATCACTCCCTTACGCTCCGGGCGCCCTCGCCCCTCGGCGACCCCCTTCCGCACGGCCACATAATCGGTACAACCCACACTGACCTCTCCGAGCTTCAGTTTCCTTATCTGAAAAATAGGGACAATAATCTCTACCTCATTTACCCAGAATGTGACAAGCCGACCAAAAAAGAGGGGCTTCCATTAGTAGGTTTATTACTGATTGCCATTCTTCGCGGTATTACCGTGGCCGCGTGGCCGCGTGGCCGCGGCTGGGGGAGGCGAGACCTCCTCCTCCTCCTCCGCGGCTCTGCAGGGCGGCGGCTGCGAGCGCCCGCCCCGCCCCACCCCCTGCCCCGCTGCGCCAGCGGCCGTCCGAGTCCTCCTCCGCCGTCCGCCCGCCGCCGAGCCCTGGGCCCGCGGAGACGCGGCGACATGGCGAGCAGCCACCGCCTCCTGCTGGAGAACGCGCGGCAGGTGGTGCTGGTGTGCGCCCGCGGCGAGCGCTTCCTGGCTGGGGGCGCGGGGCGCAGCCTGGCCGTGCTGGAGGGCGCCAGCCTGGTGGTGGGCACGTAAGTGGCCGGGCGCGCGGGGTGGGGGACCCGGCAGCCGAGGCCGGAGCTTGCCGCTTTCTCTAGCTGGTGCACTGCAGAGGCAAACAGCGCGGTAAAGCTTCCCAGCACTGCGAGAGACACTGGCGGGCCAGCCTTCGGGACGCCTGTTGCTGACACGCTCAACTGACTGGGTTGTCATTCCGTAGGGGAAAAAACCGCTCAAAACGGAACATCCCTTTAGGATGCCTCAAGTCCCGCCTCTGCCTGTAGAATATCATTGTCCGACAATCAGAAGGGGCTGGGGTTCGCTCTAGTGCTTCTCGGAGCGTGGCCAGGGGTCCACCTTCGTCAGGATGGCCTGTGATTATTTTTTCTTAAGGACAGATTTCTGACTCATTCCACCCCGAACTTTAGAATCAGCATCTTTGGAGGTGGAGTTCTGAGTCCTTAATTTTTTAAAAAAAGTACCTCTCACATCCCCGTGGTCTGTACACTAAAGCTTTAGAACCACGGAAAGCATTTAGATAGGGATGGCCTTGAGTGACAAGAAATCAAGATTTGGCCACCAGAATAAAAGAGGTGTTTCTCGTTACCATCTGAACTGCCTGCCGGATGTGAATAAAAGAACAGCCGAAGTGTGAGAGGGTGACCTGGGGTAGGACAGGGGCTTAGATGAGGATTTCAATCCGAAGAGCCCCTGGTGCCGCGATTGCACACGATGAATCAGAGTCGCGCAGACTGACCACCGCTTATCTGGAGTAGGTCAAGGTTGTGTAGGTTGATTGGTTGGTTTTTAATTAATAAAGGGACGAAAGTAGTCCTCGTGTTACTATAAAAAAATTTGTTTAAAAACTTGCCTAGAAAGTTGAGAAAATATCTACCTAGGTTGAGACCAGAGTATCTGTACAATTTACAGAAATGCTGCCAACATCAAGTCTTGGATTCCAATACATGCTCTTTCTGTGTTCACATCAAAACCACATCAAATAGAGAAAGCGAAAGGAGGGAGTTGACTTGTGGTCTGGAAGGTGGTTTTTTGATTTGAGTCTATTATGTGGGGTTCTCAGAATTTGCTGGATTTATTACATTAAAATAAATTTACAAGAACACTCAGAACTTTGCCACTCAAATACGACTAGTTCGGTACAGGACTGGATTGTTTTTTATTTTCACTTACTATCATCACTGTTTTAAACACATGCAAAATAAAGTACAGAATTGAAATAATTATCTGGTGATTGTCTGATGATGGATGCCACTGCACCCAGGGTGACAGGGCCAGACTCTGTCTCAAAAAAAAAAAAAAAAAAAAAGGAAAGAAAAGAAAGAAGAAAAGAAAATACAGATGAACAAAAAGGAAGAAAAATCAGTAAAATAATTCAAACCCCATCATTCAGTGAACTAATGCCAACATTTCAGTGTTTCTCCTTTCAGATATTTTCCCATGCAAATAGAATCATATAAAATGCATATATTATTTGGTATCCCAGGTTTTTTCCACTTAGTAATAAATAGTGAAAATGTCACCATAGCACTAATATATATCTTTGTAATTTAATGGCTGCCTTAAAAAAAACACTTTTGGGGGAATGGTTTTACTTAGTTTCCTTCAATAACTGCCATTAGACATAAACCTTTGTTCAAACATAGGTAGGAACCCACCAACGAATGAGAGACCCATGTTCGTGGAAGGTAGATAAGCATAGGATTAGCGGGGGCAGGGTAAGGACCCAGTGCCCTCAGAATTCTCCTCTCACGCAAATTGATGATGTTAGAGATTTCTTAGATTTGACCTTGTTACAACACAAATAACCCCGCTGAAGGCAGTGGAATAGTTTGTCAGACCTTGTGCCCTGTGGCTCCTGGTTAGCCTCATGCCAAGTGAGACACAGTTCTGAGAGAAGAGGAGAAAAATAATCCTGAGCTAGAGCATTCTCTTTGTCCTTTCCCGTTCAAGGATCAATGTCTAATCCTGCTGGTACCTTCTGCCACCAGAGTCACTGCACATTGGGTGGATTATCTAATTGGGTGAGATAAAAGCTATTCGTGGTGAAGAATTGTGTTAACCAGGATACTAAATTTTGAAGCTTAATTTCTTATTCTATCCTTAAATTTGTCCTCCCCACAACCGCTACAATCATTATTTCTTTTCCTTTTGTAATATTTACCCTTTACATCCAGTTTTGCCCCTCCACTCTTACATTCCGTCAGGTTACCCCGGCCACTTCAGTCCCATTGCTGAACCCCTTATCGCCTGCTTTTCACTGCATATTCCAGCTCTCAGGTTTATAGCCCTGGATCTCAATTTTGGAAACACTAATTTGCAGTGAGTGGCAAAGACTCAGGATAATAGTAGCTGAAACAAGATGGAAGGCTATTTCTCTCCTATGTAAAAATCCAGACGTAGGAATGCAGGGCTGGTTGATGGTGGTACTCGGTGGGGTCCTTGGGACCCAGGCCCCTCCTGCCTTGCTCTACGGTGCACGGCTCAGTTTCTTCCAATCACTCCGTGATCCAAGATCCTGCTCCATCTCTAGTATAGCGTCTACATTGAGCCAGTCAAATATGAAGGGAAAGCAACCTTATTGGCTAGAACTTAGTCTCACAGCCACACCTGGCTGGAGGGAGGTTGGGAAATGGAGTCTTTATTCTCGGTGGTTATGTGTCCAGTTAAAACGTAGGGTTCTAGTACTGTGAGAAAGGGGAACATTGATGTTGGGGAATAACTAGCAATCTCTGCTACACATGATTTGACTTTTTGTCTTGAATATGGCTAGAGTCACTTTTCTGAAGACTCAGGTTCAAGAAGGAAACACAATAATTGTTGACTCATTAACATCAAGGCATCTGAAAACATATGTTAAGTCACTAGTCAGATTTCTCACAAGATTTCCCCACACTTTAATAATTACGTCTTGATTTTTCTTCAGTGATGGATTTATAAAAGCTATTGGTCCTGCCGACGCTATCCAAAGACAATTTTCTGAAGAAACTTTCGAAGAAAGAATTGACTGCTCTGGGAAATGTATCCTACCAGGTACTTACCTCTTTTTCAGTAAAGCTCTAAAAGAAGTTTGAACAATTGCTCTAGGAATGTAAAGAGGAAGAGCAGCAGCTTGTTTTAAATAGAGTCTCACAATAATACTAAAAAATAATAATAGCTCTATGTATTGAATTTCTACTATTGAATGTCTAGCTGCTTTACAAACATGATTTCATGTTGAATCCTTCTAACTGCCAAGTGTGGGAGGTGTCATTATCTACATGTTATAGATTAGAAAATGAGTTTAGGGGTGAAATATGTTAACCCAAGGTTGCTAACCAGGTAGAGGGCAAGCTGGGAATCAGACCCATTCATTCACTCCACGTCTTCCCACTCCCAGGCTGAAGAGAAACCAGCTGTGTTGTAGTTAGGTTTGAAAAGTCAGAAAAACTTTATTAATCCATTGCTTAGGGGAGGCAAAGGGGGTAGCTACTGTCCCTAATACCAGAAATGCTCCAATATTGTATAGGATGTGAAACAACAGTCCCAGCTCTAGGCAGAAAATGAAAAACAAAAAGTACCCTAGAGATTTCATGTCAGTTCACTTATATCTTTAATGATTGACAACAGAATCCATTTATTAACCATCATCTCCTACATTATCTATGTTGTATGGCTTCTTATAATCACCCAAAACAAGTTTCACAAATTTTGAATTCTACACAAACATAGGAACTTTATATTTTACTTTATATAAAACTTAAAGTATATATTTTAACATAATTTTATATAGGATTTATGTAAAATTTGTATTTTTCAAATGTTTACTATACACATTGACAGAGCTTCTACCTTCTGGATCTTGGGAGTTAGGAGACAAAATTGGGGTGAAATGTTAAGAGTAGAATAGAATATAGTAGAAAGCAATCTAATTAGGGACCTTTGATTTTAGTTCAATCAGAACCATTAAAGAGCCATTTAATCCATAAGATATTTTAAATATTCTGGAAAGACATAATTTACTGAATTGTACCTGGAAAAACAAAAGTTCTGAGTGCTTTTTTATAGTCGGTTTAATTAAAATATATTTCTTTCTTGAAGATAGATTCATATTTCTGATTTCCTATTTTGCCTTCTCAGAGTTGGAGGGGTTGTATTATTCTGTTTTCACACCCAGATTGTTCCTTGGTGATACAGTCCTTGGTTTTGTTCAACTAGTAGGTTTGACTAATTTAAAAGCTTTGGTGAGCGTGGACTTATTGAGCAAAAGGAGCTATACATCTCTGAGGGATATTTTCATCATGTTCATCACCTCCTTTATTAGAGCCTTCAAGACCAGCAAGGCAGTCTTATTTCCTCTCTATCAGGTAACCGCAGAGACAAATCTTCCCTCTTTCACCCTCCTCCAAGTTGGATGGCCACCATGATGTTTTCCCAAGAGCAGCACGGTAGAGTCTGCCTGCTACCTAAGTGCTTTCTATTTCTTAACTTTAAGGTGACTTGATTTATTGATTACAGGTTTGGTGGATGCACACACACATCCAGTATGGGCTGGTGAAAGAGTTCACGAGTTTGCAATGAAGGTAACTGCAATCAATAACGGCAAGTCAAAAGGGAGCACAAATATAAAGTCTTCTTCTAAAGAGTCCGTAGGCTATCGGGCTTTGCAACATATGTCAACTTGTCTTTTTAATGGATATTTTTACTTGCCTGGATATGGCAAACAAATGACAACAAAACTTATTTATAATGTCTCAAGTCTTTATATTATACACAGGGCTAGTAAGCATTTTTAGTGTAATAGTTTTTGAAAAATTTTAGCTGCAGAATCCACCTTTTAAAACAGAGCTGAGCTGCCTTGCCCATTCATTTCTCCTCTTTCCTTCGCCCCATTCCAAATTACTACCTCTAGTAGCCTTTGAAAGGGCTCCAAGAAACAGTTTGAAAAATCACCATTCTTTGGGGTCAAGCTAGAAAAAATACATGACTAAGCACAAAAATAAAATGTCTTATATTGTTCTCTTTTTCAGAAAAATAAGACATTAAGAATCCTAAAATATAGCCTGTGTTAGTTATACATTAGCCATAGTCAACTCCTAAGTCCCTGGTGGGAGGCTGTTTTCACATTGTTTAAAAACAAATGTGCATCCTCTCAGCTAAATTGGCTTATTTCAAAAAAATAAAAAATTTTTCTTCAGATATCATGTACGTTCCTCAATAAGCTTGAGCTGTTTTTTAAAGACTATTTTATTAAATCGCAGAATTTTAGAGCCAAAAGCAACCTTAGGGATTTGAAGTCCAGGCCTCTCATTATATAGATGGAGAAAGTTGGGTCCAGAGAAGGGAAAAGTGTTCACTAAGGTCACCAGCTGGAGGGTGGCAGAACCCAGATGAAAACTCTTCTTGGGAGTTCCCCAGGCCTGCAGACCTTGTGTGTGCCACACTCCTTGCTTCGGAGTAACTGGAGCCCAGCGGGATGCCAGGAAGAGCCACTTTATTTGCTTGAGTGACAAAAGTCAGGCTCTAAATTCTGGTGGCCAAATATTGAGCCTTGGAAACTGCCCTGGGCTTCTTTAGTGGAGATTTGAACAATTGCAGTGGGGTTCCCTAAATTGCCTAAGCTTTTTTTTCTCAAACCTGCTGAGGCTGTAGGGAGGGCTGAGCCCTAGCTGGAACCCACTGGTGACCAACTGAGTTGTTAAAATATTGAAATACGTTTGTGCCAGTTTTTAACCGCAGCTGCCCTGAGACCCCAAATGCCCACCCACCGCATCTCCCACCTCAGCGACTCCAGTCCCTTCCTGGGACCTCCTCCGGAGCTCCCCACAATGCAGTGGCCGGCAGAGTAGGGGTTTCGAGGACTGTGCGTCCCATCACCCTCCCCAGTCTGATCGGATGGTGCCGGTGCCCTAATGCTTCTTAATCATTTTTTAGTATCACCCGTGGAAGTAGGTTCTGTAGGTCTGCCTGCAGCCTCCTGGCATTTGTCCAGCCTAAGCGCGAGCTGTGTGTTCAGTTGGCAGGAGCCACGTACATGGATATTCACCAGGCCGGAGGAGGGATCAACTTCACGGTGGAGCGCACACGCCAAGCCTCGGAGGAGGAGCTGTTCCGCTCCTTCCAGCGGCGGCTGCAGTGCATGGCGCGGGCCGGCACCACGCTGGTGGAGTGCAAGAGCGGATACGGCCTCGACCTGGACACCGAGCTCAAGATGCTGCGCGTGATTGAGCGCGCCCGACGGGAGCTGGACGTCGGCATCTCGGCCACTTACTGCGGGGCTCACTCAGTGCCCAAGTAACCTCAGCCAGTGCCAGCGCGTTTAACGCAGGGCTTTGAGATTGCAGTGGGGCAGCACTTTGGCTCTTGCAGGGACGCCAGTAGAAACCTCTGGAAAGATGTTCTGATTCTAATGGCCAATCATCTTACACACGTGGTTTTAGAAAGACCCATCACTTTGCTAGTCCTTTAGCGATGAAAGAAGAGATGTTTCAAGCTCCTTTGGTTAGCAAAAAGAAATGGCCCCTCGTAGGTCCTTTAAAATTACAGATATTCATTGGAATAATTTCACATGATAATCAATTAGCATAAAAGCACTTTAGAAATTAATAGTAACACTCCTTAGGAGACAGATCAAATCTTGGAGTCTAGGTGACTCAAAGGGTTTTTTTTGTTTTGTTCATCTGTTTGCTTACCTAACAGCAAACATTTTTGTTTTACTATTGTAAATGTTTTTTAGTGTTCTTCTTTATCTAAAAAGTTTCCCCTCCATGGCTTTACTACAGAGAACTCTGCCCCCTTCTGTGCCTGTGTCTTATCCATCCAAAGTTCCTTTTGGTCCTAGAATTTCTAGATAGAAAGGTCTGTGGATCTGGAACTAACTGAAAGATCTAAAAGAAATTCCGGACTTGAACACCCACAGGGTATCTCGAAAGTCTTAGTGTAGTCTTAACCTTTGAAAACTTACGTATGTAAACGATACAGACTTACAAACATAATTTGTAAATTTAATCATTTAAATTTATTTTATATTTAGTTTTGTAAACTTTGGGATGTAAATTTGGACAGCTAAAGAACGTCTCCAAAGTTACGTGGCCAGAAAGTGGTGGAGCTCCATGTATGTCTGACTCCAAAAGCCAAGCCCTTTCTAACATTATTATAATCACCCTGGAATTTTAGAGAGAATTTCAGGGCCTACTACTATCCTCTTCCACCATGGCCCCAGACAGTGAGACAGGAAGCCTAAGGCACATGCTTGGGGAAATGTGGAGAAAGAAAAAGGCAGGGTGATAGCTGGGGCCAGGTAAGGCAACCGCAGTTGGGTTGTCAGGGAAGCATGCAAGATGCCCTCTCAGGGTTCTTGACTGGAAGGCTAAGGTTTTCAGCCAGGCGGCCTTGCTGGCATCAGCAACATAGATGTGCTAGAATGGTTGAACCATTTGAGTCTCTGTGTGTAGGGTCATTGCACATAGAAGTCTTGTGGATACCTCTGCAGTGTAGGCATGGCCCAATTGTTAACAGACCTGAGTTTTAGCTTTGATTCTTTCTTTACCTTTCTGAGGCTTGAGGTCATTCACCTATGCTGTTTCTCAGGTTCTCTAAGGTACAAATAACCCCTTTTCAATTAAAAAAAAAATATATATGTATTTGCCCATGGTAATCTCATCTTCTTCTCTCAGAGGAAAAACTGCTACTGAAGCTGCTGATGACATCATCAATAACCACCTCCCAAAGTTGAAGGAACTGGGCAGAAAAGGGGAAATACATGTTGACAATATAGATGTGTTCTGCGAGAAGGGTGTCTTTGACCTTGATTGCACCAGAAGGATTCTTCAATGTGGAAAAGACACAGGGTTACAGATTAACTTCCACGGGGACGAACTTCACCCAATGAAGGCTGCTGAGGTATGGTTGACCTGTTGTTTTCCCTTTGTGCATTCAAGCTATGGAAAACTCAGTTTGTTCAAAGGCTTCTAAAAAGATAAAGAGTGGGGAAATGCGTTGAGCAATGTGCAGATGGGTCTGGTGGAGCCTTGAAAACCTGACCTCTGTTAAAAACTTACTTTTTTGCCGATCGTTTATTTTTGTTATTATCTACTGGTGGTGTTAGTAGAAAAAGAAGTACCTTTTTGATCTCATTCACTAAATTTACAACATATTTTGGTTGGCACACAAAGCCACACTGGCACAGTATGTTAGTTTTATGTGTAGCTTCTAGGATCTTTCTTTGATCCACATCAATTTTGATAGAGCACACCAAAAAAAGCCACAAGAGGCTTTCCAAATCTGTATGTCTTGCCAGGATTCATTCATTTCGTTATCCTTTCAACAAATATTCCAGTGTCTACTGTGTGCCAGACCTTGTTCCAGGTACTTGAGAATTCAGCAGTAGGCCAAAGTCCCTGCAGCTGGGAGTCTAGATATCTCTGATCTAAAGCCCTGGACCTAAATACACAGTTACCCTTGGGGCATTAATACAAATACAGATACCCCACATGTGTCTCAACCGCCATATGTCTAACTTGATCTCAAAGTCACTTCCAAATCTTGTCCTGTGTTTCTTGTCCAGTGAATGACCCCATTGTCTGTCTATTGCTGAAGACCAAAATTTGGACATCATTTTGATGACTTTCTCCCCCTCACCTCCACATGCCAACCAACCACCAGGTCCTCCCAATTCTCCTAAATATCTCTAGGTCCACTACTCTCACCTCTGATCCATAAGATTCATCAAATGTTCTGTGTCAGAAAAGGTCTGCAAGCATTTGTGTTTAAGAATAGTTTTTGGCCGGGCACGGTGGCTCACACCTGTAATCCTAGCACTCTGGGAGGCCGAGGCGGGCAGACTGTTTGAGCTCAGGAGTTTGAGACCAGCCTGAGCAAGAGCGAGACCCCGTCTCTACCAAAAAAATAGAAAGAAATTATCTGGACAACTAAAAATACATAGAAAAAATTAGCCGGGCATAGTGGCGCATGCCTGTGGTCCCAGCTACTCAGGAGGCTGAGGCAGGAGGATCGCTTGAGCCCAGGAGTTTGAGGTTGCTGTGAGCTAGGCTAATGCCATGGCACTCACTCTAGCCAGGGCAACAGAGTGAGACTCTGTCTCAAAAAAAAAAAAAAAAAAAGAATAGTTTTTGAAGTAGCATGCCATCTAATTTTCAAATGAATGCCTATTACAAACTCTTTACCCATTTGGGGGATTGTGCGTACAAGAGTTGGTTGACAAGAAATCTTAATAATAAAATGCTATTTCTCTTTGTAGGAAAAAGAGTTGAGTGGTACTTTACTGATGTGTTGTTGCCATTGGTTAAGTCTTTCCCTTTCTGCCCATTCTGTGTAGCTCGGGGCTGAACTGGGAGCCCAGGCAATCAGTCACCTTGAGGAAGTGAGCGATGAAGGCATCGTTGCCATGGCAAAGGCCAAGTGCTCTGCTGTCCTTCTGCCCACCACAGCCTACATGCTGAGGTAAGGTCATTTCTCACCCTAGACCCATGAGCTGCAAGTACAAGCTGTGAAGACACAGACTTCCAAGGTGCCTAAACATTATTTCATTGACATCACAAATCTTTTAAAAATGCAGATCTATACTTTTAAAAACATGCATAAGATATTGGGGATAGTTGGCAGTGTTCAGAATCTGAGAGAGCTGTTTTCTAAGAGGATGTTAATGGGTACCATAATGGTCTAGCAGAATCCTCATAAATCCTGGAGGTAGGAGGGAAGAGGAGACATAGAAGCACATCTCCCCAGAGATTTTGCCGTATGTGCTCTATACACTGGATACACATAGTCCATCTTTTATAACTGTCATTGCTCTAATTCTACCAAATATAAGGCTTGAGATCTTCTGACTCTTTCCCTTGTACCACTTACAGGACAGTTGCCAAGAGTGTGGTCTGGGAGGTGAGCATTCAAGAGGAAGCTTGTCTTCTCTTAGGACTGGGTGCTTTCTGTGTGGCTAGGATACATGGTCTTCTTGGGGAGAAGGGGCAATTATGCAGTTACAGCTTTAGGACAGTGGTTCTCAACCCCAGGACGATTTTATCCTGCAGGGGACACTTGACAATGTCTGGAAACATTTCTGGTTGTCACAATGAGGGGATGCTACTGGCATTTAACAGGGAGAGACCAGAGTTGCTGATAAACGTTCCTCAATGCACAGAGTAGCTCCCCACAACAAAGCATGACTTGTGCTGAGGTTGGGTAAAGTCAGCTTCAAGTAACTTCTAGAAAAGAAAAGGGAATATTTCAGTGCTCTTCTCAAACTTATGATTTCGTAGGTACACATGTATAATATTATACATTTTTATTATCATTACCATTCTCTTAATTTAAAATAGTAGACACAATGTAGACTACAATCAGGAAATATCAATAACTTTTTGATATAGCCAACTACTTTTCTTACAAGTCTCAGTAATCATCAGTCTAAGTTATTAATCAATATTTAATTTGGTTAATTTTTCACCACACAAGAAATAAATTTTTACAAAAAACTAAAAAAGACTTTCTTTAACTCACCTTAAATCTCTTAACATGGAGCAAAAATCTGAGACTTTGTGGTACCAAAGGGCAGTTTGGCATTAAAAATCTGAACTTTGTTCCTATGCCAGTGGAGGCTGTCATCTGCCAATGCCACAGGTAGGTTTAGCATCCTGTTTGGACAACAAGGGCAATCGAAGAGAAGGCCACATCTTCTCTCTGGCTTCTCTGTTCCTTTATTTTTCTGATCTCTCCAGTGGAAGGACCTGCAGGGCCTCCTGCTAGACCTTGAACCCTGTCTTGACTCTTATTTTCAGAATAACCATTGCCTTACGCCTGTTAAGGGTTTCCTTTAATCATGTATTTTGTGTATATTTACATATAATGCCTAAATTTATTCAGGAAATAGTCACCTTAGTTTTTGTGGAGCATCCTTAATACTTTTACAGCCTCTTCTTTTTAACCCCTAAGTGGTTTTAGAAGGGGAGGAAGGGCCGTCACAATGTCTTGCAGGAAATTTGAAGCTATACTCTTTCCTCACTCTCTAACTCTGCTTCACCCACATCTTCTCATACATTGTCTTAGGTAAGAAACATTATTTTAAGTGGTCCTACAAATTATCACAGACCAGGAATGCTTCAGGGCAAGAATCATCTCTGCTAGGCTCTTTTCCCTATTGCAATAGTTATTACTGAATTAAATCTGTCCTCATCGCATTAATGAGATTTTAGGCTTTGTTCATTTTTGACATAACTTTTGAGTTGTGTCTTAAGGAATAAAGAATATTTCACCAAGGAGGTCAGAGAGATGCCTAACCCAGGAAGAAGCACAAACATTTTACATATTAAATTCTTGGACCTTCAAGATTTCAGCAAAAAATGTTTGAAACCTAAAAAAAAAAAAAAAAAAAAAAAAGGAAGGAAAGAGATATAAATAGAAAATTGCAAAATGGAAATTAATAAAGATAGCGTTATTATAAACTCATTGTTTAATTTGGTAGTGACAAAAAAGTTTATTAAATTTAAAAAATTAAAAATAATTTAAAAACCATTTTAATTTTTAAACTTTAAAGACCATTTGTAAGTTATGATTTTCTCTCTTAGCAAGAATGTCTTGATACATAGAAAGATGGCCTAGATAAGCAATCTCAAATTAAACAAATTAGTCCTATGCAAATAATTTCAAAAGCAGAATGATAAAAATCAACAGTCCTGGGATTCTATCTAACTCCACCACTAATCACTTAACCTGGAGTTTCCGTGTCTTCTTCCAGATCATGAAGGAGTTGGATGTCTCAAACGTTCTTCCGTTATGAACATCTATTCTGCAAAAGTTCCAACTCTAGAGACTGACGTATTTTCTTCCTCCCCTTAGACTGAAGCAGCCTCGAGCCAGGAAGATGTTAGATGAAGGGGTAATAGTTGCTCTGGGCAGTGATTTCAATCCTAATGCATATTGCTTTTCAATGGTAATTATTTTTTCATGTGCCTTTCTGAGCAGAGTATCTACCAAGCATATAAATAATTTAAATATATTTCACTAGCTGCTTAAAATGTATAAAATATCTAAAATTATTTTTCTGTGAAACAAAGAAAAAACGGGTGGACAGTAGTATAACTGGATTTTTCTGCACTACATAAATGCCTCCAGGCATAGAGAGAGGAGAGATGCTGCTATTGGCGTTATTTTCTGATTCAGCTTTGAACACTGCAGTTTTACAATAACCCACTTCCTTTCTCCAGAAAATAGCATAAACTCTACATACGAGGTTGAGTTAGTAAGGGTGGAGGTGAGCTTTATCGTAGACGCTAAGTGGTCTTGAAAAGTTGTAAATAAATATTAAATACACAATCTCTATAATAAAGGAATCTTTTTCAAAGCCTAAGAACCTTTATATGTAAATTTGGATTTTCCCATAGCAATTGAGCCAGTTCCTCCTACACACTTAATTGCCATTATTTGTTATGCTGTGTTGAGAAATGTTCTAAGTAGTAATAGTCATTTGTCACTTTCTTCCAACGCCTTTCTCCTCCCGCCTTAGCCGATGGTCATGCATCTGGCCTGTGTAAACATGAGGATGTCCATGCCTGAGGCCTTGGCTGCGGCCACCATCAATGCAGCTTATGCATTGGGAAAATCTCACACACATGGATCTTTGGAAGTTGGCAAACAGGGCGATCTCATTGTCATCAATGCGTCCAGGTGAGTGTGCTCCCAACTTAGGTATTCTATTTTATGCCCAGTGTGATGTATATAGGAGGTTTAAATCCCTTTTCCACTAATTACTGTAAATAAATATTAAATACACAATCTCTATAATAAAGGAATCTTTTTCAAAGCATAAGAACCTTTATATGTAAATTTGGATTTCCCCATAGCAATTGAGCCAGTTCCTCCTACACACTTAATTGTCATTATTTGTTATGCTGTGTTGACAAATGTCTTAAATAGCAATCACCATTTGTTACTTATTTGTTAATTAATTGTTAGTGTCAGGCTCTGTCTAGATTCAGACAGTACCCAATCTCCTCTGTCTTGATCCCTTTCCAACCAGAAATTCTACCTACAGGTCCTAAACTACAGAGCGGACCAGGTTTTCTGGTCTCTTCATCTGTCTTGTGTATTTCATAGATTCCAGCTTCCTGTTCTGTTTACCTGGACTTTGGACTTGTACTCTCTGGCATGTGATTTTGTTTGTCGGTTTGGCTTCTGACCTAAGGCTTGCTCCCAACCTGGGCTTGTCACCTGGCTCTGATTCATACCTGCTCTGTCTTATCATACCCACTGGATCCCAAAAGCTTAAACTTAGTTTCCCGTTCCTGGTTTCTTATTACTCACTCACTCACAGTCTGTTGCCACCGGGGCCTCCACTGTGACAATTTGGGTCGTCTTGTTCTAAATCCCAAAATTGTAAATCCTATGGCTCCTTGAACCTCGTGATCCCATCGCAGCCCTTGGACCTCATGTCCAACAGAGGACAATGGCTCTAATTCTACTCTCCAGGGTCAGAAACTACTCCCTCTGTTGAATATAATGCTGCTGTTACCATGCGTTGTCCATCACTTAATGAAGCAACTATTTTAAAGTCAAGTACTTAAATAATACTATTATACAATATTTGATTTATCATAGACCAGTAAGCTGTTTTTTTAGAAAGCCTAAAAACCAAAGACTGGATATAAAGAAATATTTAGAGAATGCATTTTAAAATTAGCATTTATTGCTAAAGTGATCATTTTGACTTGTATGCACTGAAGTAATGTTTGATTTCTTTCTAGATGGGAGCATTTGATATACCAGTTTGGAGGCCATCACGAATTAATTGAATATGTTATAGCTAAAGGAAAAGTCATTTGTAAAAAATGATAGCACTGAAAAGAAAGAAGACTCTTTGACTACATAAGTCAAATACAGTTATATTAAAAAGTTAACACACCTTAGTAGTTTATCAGAATTATGTCACTTAAACCTAAATATATCTCAATGTCTTGTTAATCTACTTGGAAAACCCAAGCGATTGATTTATTTTAATTTAACATGTGCACCTGGATGTTTAAACAGGTAAACCTGTTGTGATGATAATGATATAACATTAAATCATTTCACAAATATTGGTTACAAATATTCTGAAGATTAATATGATGGCATATCACAAAAATGCCTTTGTGAGGAAAGCAGACTTGACTTGAAATTTTCATTTTGTGTCCACATTTCAAATTTCACTTTTTAAACTTTATTTAGAGAACATTGAGGTATAGAAGGAAATCCAAGTGATATGCCTCAATGAAGCTAAAATATAGCTTTTTGTAATAAGCAACAAATATTTCTTTCCCTCACATAGATTATCTTTCTAGATGCTCTTCAAATGCATTAGTGTCTCCTGACAAAGGGTGTCCCCTTTCATTTCTAACATCTCTCAACTCCAGCAATAAAGCTCTTACAGCAGGGTTCAACACTTGTCATTTTATACGCAGGCAGGGGCCTTCCCGTAATGGATGCATTTTGACCAAATCTGATAATGTAATTTTTGGGGAAATTTTTTTTAAGTGTTTGACTCTTCGCATTACAAATGGATAAACATTTTCCAGCTCCCAATAAATATTTGCTGTCACCCTTTTTGTTGTTTCCTTTCAGCCTGGAAGTAGATCAGCAGTGTTGTCTTTGAGAGTTGTTTAGGAAATGAACAAATTACAAAATTATTTGTAAAGACTGGATAACTATTTACATATAAATTGGTGTTTCTAAAGCCATGTGAGTTTATTTAAAATCTTTCTAAATGTTTTAAATAACAAGTGCATTACCAAACTTTGTCCTGTTTATGAGGGAATGATTTGAGAAGTAAACATTAACTATCCAAATTATCACCAATTTCAGGTTAATAGAGCCTGAATTAATGAGGCTTTACTGTTTTTAATACAAATCAAGTCAAAAATATCCCTCACTGGAAGGTTAAGGGTAACAAACATTGTCCATTGTTGTCACTGCATTGGGGTCTCTGGAGCTCCGGCCTTCATGTGATTGTCGAATAAGTCTTGAAGGAGTTTGCGGGGGCATGTGGTCACTGTGGGTGATGCCTCCTCTGTGACCAGTCACGTAGTAAATGGTAGGGGTTTGGGACGCAGGAGATGAGATAAAGACCAAAACTAAATGTTAGGTCTGCCCTGGAACCCACGTCACACAAGATTATATTCTAATAGCTAAGGAATAAGAAGATGAAGTGGCATCCTATCTGAGGCAGTCACATTTTCTAACAGTGTTAACGTTTGTTGACGGACTCTTTCAGAAATTGATCAACTGCCCTTAGAGTAGCCTTTCCCTAAGGCTGTGGTCCCCAACTCCCAGGCTGTGGACTGGTACGGGTCCATGGCCTGTTAGGAACCAGCCACAGAGCAGGAGGTGAGAGGCGGGACCAGCAAGGGAAGCGTCATTTGTGTTTACAGCCGCTCCCCATCGCTCACATAACCACCTGAGCGCCACCTCCTGTCAGAACAGCAGCGGCATTAGATTCTCATAGGAGCGCAACCCCTACTGTAAACTGTGCATGCAATGGATCTAGGTTGTCTGCTTCTTATGAGAATCTAATGCTGATGATCTGAGATGGAGCTGAGAGGTGATGCTAGGGCTGGGGAGTGGCTGCACATACAGATTATCATTAGCAGAGAGGACTCACTGCACAGAGACCATAATAAATCAATTGCTTGCAGACTTACATCAAAATCTTATCAGGGAGTGGCAATAATGTTAGAAATAAAGTGCACAGTAAATGTAATGTGCTTGAGTCATCCCCAAACCATCCCCCTACCCCCACCCCCAGTTTGTGGAAAAATAGTCTTCCATGAAACTGGTCCTTGGTGGCAAAAATGTTGGAGACCGCTGCCCTAAGAGGTGTTAAACTTTGTTACAAAAATCTGAGAATAAAACGACCACATAAGGCAATTGAGACAGTTTATTTCGTATTTCCCTTGCGATTCCCTTGAACATGATGTGAGTTACTAACAGCTGTATACAAAGTGTCACTGTGGCCTGGAGGGCTGCAGGGGCAGGTGGGAACCCAGCACTCCCCAAGCTGGAGTGAAGAGCCATCAGAGCACTCAGGTTTACCGGCTCAACCGTAGCGTGGATGGGAATGAATCAACTTCATTTGTGTGAGTCCACATTTTAGCAAAGAATAGCATCAAGAACAACCTTTAGGAAACAGATTGCTCAGCACATTTTTTTTGCTCCCTGAATTGCTGTAGGCGGCAGTTTTCACTTTGGTCTCCACCGTTCCTGTGGATAGGTTGCAATCTAAAGAGTGAAAAGTCTATTGTGAAATACACTGGGAGGCCCGTTTTAGGCTGTACTCAGGTAGGCAAGCTGGCAAGCGTATCTGTCCTCTTCTCGACCAGCTGCAGTTTTTGGAGCCATGGTTTCAGACTCTTGCACTTGGGGTGCCTTGCACACGTTTGCTCAGGTAGGTGCAAAGTCACAGATCTTAGGTTTGGGAGGCTAAGAGGTCATCGGACCCATCCTTCACCTGGACAGTTACTTAAGCTTTTCCAGAGAGGCTTTACCTTCTTCTTGGGAGAAAAACAGGTTGGGTAATACTTCCTAGGTTCCCACCTGACCTTTGTCAATAGTGCTCATTTTAATGATTACCACCAGAGAGAGGAGGTCAATCCCTGAGATTCCTTATCTGTGAAATGAGGAAGCTTCTGACGCAGGGTTGCTGTAAGAATGTGAATAGAGTACTAACACATAGGAAGTGACAATACTAACCTCAAACTCCAATTTAAACATATGATTAAATTAAGCACTAGGGGGATATGTGTAGTGATATTTGATAAGTACGAAATACACAGTCCAATAAGGGCCACCCAAGTAGCAATCTTTATATTCATTGCTTAACTGCTTTCCACATGAAACCTCATGTTGGTTTTAACAACCTCTGTATTTAATTGCTTAAGATCTATTAATCTTTACTATGATTCAATTAATAGAAGAAATGAAGGCAAATTATGACTTAAATGGTTATTTATGAAGGCATATTAAGGAACATGGATCATATCACGGCACAGTACAAGCAGCCAAAGAAAGTCAACTGGTAGAGAGCTGTCAAAGCAAATAATAACAACAACAAAAAGGTTTACAAAAGTCTAATGTTTTAAGAAAAGAATGCTAGCAATCTGTTTCCAAATTTGAGTTTATCTAATGCTAAGAGTAAAAAACAGACCCATACAATTGTGGTTATTCTTCTCACCCTTAAAAGTGATATTGCTAAGAAGAAAGAAAATACTTATAATCGGAAAGGACCTGGTGCGTCTCGAACCATGGCAACAAGAACACTGTGCCAAATTTAGCAACTGTAATACTGCCACCAGCCTGACCAAAGTAGGTTTTTGAAGAACTGAGTTATATAACGGATTGATCTACCTAGGACAGTTCCCAGGCCTGTCCTTCAGCTCAATCCTGCTTCACGCTACCTACACTGAACGCCATCTCATCTGCTAATCCACAACCAAGCCCATTAAAGCTCCTCAGACTCTGGGATTTTGCTGGATTTCTTGTGTAGAAATTCTAGCGAAAAGGCTGTAGGAGAAACAGGTCTTGATTCTGGAATATGCTCCATTCTGTATTTTTCAATGTATGGTGAAGCTACTTGCCAAACCTGAGAAGCAAGGACAAAACAAAGGTGAAATATTGACATCGTTTCCACATACTGTTAAACATCAACTTCATCCGAAGTCAAAACATCCTCTGTACCTGACTAGACACATCATGGCTGTTTGCTTGCTTTTATTTTAAGCCATGTCACTTAAGACATGACCTGTGTCAATTCGTCTTTGATGGCATTGAAGCCTTTAAATATACAAAGTCCAAAACTTTTCTAAAGTTATCATGAAGGTTTTAAGCTGTTTACTTTTCCAAGGCAAAATAAGCAAGCAAGTGAATAGCAAGCAAAACCTAGAGAATTCAGTGTGGACAGAGTAAAGGATAGTTGCTCAAGGGTGTGATAGGACCCTGTACTTTCTAAAATAAGCCTGGAATGATAAAAGGCAGTTATTTGAATTTTCCATTGCTCTGTTTCCATGCCCTGCCTTTGACCCTTGCTACTCAAAGTGTGGCCCGTGCTGGGGCAGTATCAGCATCACTTGGGACAAGTCAGAATCTCAGCCTTCACCCCAGACCGACTGAATCCGAATCTGCATTTTAACAAGATGCCCAGGAGATCATATGCATGTTCAAGTCTGAGCAGCACTGCCTCAGGTCCTTGTTAATTTTCACCTCCACCAACCAACTTCTTCTCTTTTAAGCAAAACATCTTCTCAAATTAAGGCCCTGTTTTGGGTTTATAGCTGCTTTATATCTGATTGCCACTGGCAGCCAAGGAACCTTTCCTGTGCTTTTGTATGGCCTTAGAAAATGTATTCTCTCCAAGGCCAAGCCTCTCACACACCTCCCTACTAGCACCAAAAGTGGGAGGCAGGCAAGTGGCTTCCCCTCACAGGAGGCAGAACACACTTGGAAATGACAGACGTGAAGTTCAAAGGGAAAAATCATTCCTCAAGAGCAGAACAACCATTTTGGGGGAAAATCAAGTGATTCTAGGAAATGTGACACTCTCATATTAGTCACAAGGTTTAAAGCACTTTAAAAACTACATCAAAAAATGAGTCAGTATGCTTAGCATCTGTACCTATCAGCTCAGTCCCCGGTCTGCATTAACCAGAGAAAGTAAGCAGGAAAGAAAAACCGGCATCTCACCAGAGCACCAGACAGACTTAGCCCTTGAAGTAAACACCTGGGACTTTGTTTTTCCTCCAGGTCTATGCAGCCATCGCACCCGGTGGTGGTTGCGATAGCATCACCCAGAAGAGAAAGTACTTTTGAACGCAAGAGGACATTATGGGGAGGGGGGACCCATGAACCTTCCATCTCATTTTCTCCCTGTGAATATTGTCTCAAAACTCAATTTAAAATTCATTTCAGCTTCTAATCCTTAGACATTCAACGTTTGTGTGCAGCACGGGGGTACTTAAGGGTTCATCAGATGGCTTCTTAGCAGCCCTGCAAGCTGCCTAAGTACCTTTTTGTTCGCTTCTGAGAAATAGCCAGGAAACAGTAGAAAAAGACAGTTTCCCCACCCCCCACTCCCACTTTACTTTCCCAGAACAACCAAAAACTCAGAAGCCAGCCCCGCAGCCATCTTGCCTTCTGCTCTAGCAGCAGCCGGTGCGCTGCCTCGATGTCCGGGGCCATGAAGCGATCTTTTATCCAGGGCCTACAGAAAGAGCACATCCACCCATCAGCCAAACATCGAGCACTGCCAGGGTTCACAGTTCTGAAATGGTGTAACTTCCAGGGACCTGTTTGACCTTACCTTACAACAGAGCGCACCAGGTCATAGACCTTCTCCAGCGGAGTGGTTGTTCTCAGGGGGCGGAGAAACTCTATGCCCTGGCAGGCCGCAAGCAGCTCTATGGCCAGCACTGAAACAAGAAATTCGAGAGGGTGGCTGAGGAAAGTCTGACTTCGTGCTTGAGGAATATGAATTGCCCAAAGTTGACAGCCATCAATCACCAGCCGCTTAACAGGTGGTTCTCTGTTTTCCAGAATGAAGTTGCCTTGGTATTTG